TATATATATATCCCTGCTGGGTTCTTTTTTTAGCTTTTACCAGATTTTTTACCCATTTTTTTACCCAGCTACAAAGCAAAATATTTACCAATCTGAGCTGTGAGAACCTTATTGCGAAGAGCAGATCCCGCCCTACAGCCCTCCGACATTTCGGCCCAATAGCTGCCTCTGAGGTGCCCGCCACGTGCCCGACACAGGGCCGCTCTCCCCTCCCCTCCTCTGCACGTCCTTCCAGGTTGACGGCACATGCCTTCGTCCTGACTAACGTCGGCGCTAACAGGCTGGTGAGACGCCCATGGCTGACGGGCACAGGCAGCTCAGGGCCCCAGAAAAAACTCTAATCTCTTTTCTAGAGATTTCCGCTTCGTCTTGGGGGTGGTGGCAAATAAAGTGCAATCAGGGCAACACCTTGCGAAAAAGCCAGAGATGTTTGTGAGCTATTCGTGTGTGTGTGTGAGGGGGGGGGGGGCTCATAATGGTGAGTGGGTTTATGACCAGCTGGTGTGTGCACACCCTGCCTTGCAGACGTGTACCTGTGTGTGGTGCTCATCTGCTCCGTTGGACTCGTCTGCATGTGCCTGTTTACTGTGGTCATCACCTGCCAGTACCTGCAGAGGAGGCGGAGCTCCAGAGGTGAACTCATTAATAATTTATAATGTCACGCATGGCCCCTCCCCTTCTTGCTTTCTAAATTATGGGTCATTCATTCACAGTTCGCTATGTAGGGAAACTTATGCAGTTCACGATATAGACTTATTCAGTGAATCAAGATCATTTTTCTATTTAAAATATAAAAGAAATATACGTACCTGTGTGTAAAATGCTGCCCCCCTGTGCAATCTTCTTTGGTCAGTTGACAAAATGCATGACATTCACATTGCATTATGGTATACAGGAAGCATGCTAATGTGCATCATCTGTACTCTAGGATTTGCACTGCAATTTGGACACTGTAAAGTGCATTATACAGTAAGTCAGATTTGCCAATGAGGACAGTGAACGCTATAAAATGGTGGATGCCCTGCATAGTGCACTATAGGAATAATAGAGTGATGTTGAATACAGCCTGTATGTTCAGGTAAGTTTACAGTGAGGTGAATTGTACTTGTGGACATTCTAAGAAGCGGAGATTTGAGTTGCTTCTCTTGTTCTCTTACAGCAAGTTATTATCTGGTGAAGTGTCCTCAGAACAGGTAGGGCTCCTCCCACAGTGCTTGGCACTGCATTTTTTATTATTATTCTTCACAGAAAGGAATAGAATCTCACAGTAGTTTAATCACAGTGATGATCATTTGGGTTCCATATATTCTATATGGTGCCCCTCCAAACACAGCCAACCCAAAATGCTTTGATAACAGTTTTGATAATCCGAAGGTGAGGATCAATGACTTGACACTTATTTTCTGTCATAAAAATGGTTCTCTTGGTGAAATTTGCAAAATTTATAAAAATTCTCCTGCACCTCTTGCCCCTGCGCCATACCGACTTCCAGCTCTGGGGAGACGGTCACCAGTGTCATCAGCCTGTCCCCTCCCATGCCCAAGAAGGAGAAAAAGCACTTGGACAAGAAGGGTGTAGAAGCCGCAGAGATTCCACCGGCCATACCAGCCAAAGGTGCAGAGGAGGGCCCGTTCTCGTGGGGACTCAGAAATGTATCTGTCATTATCAAACAGAACACTTTCTCAGGTCTCGAGGTCAGGTGACGGGACATTCCGCCGCCTGTTCCACTGTCCCTAATTTTCCAGCTTCTCCTTACAGACAAAACACGGGGCTCCAAACTTCTGAAGCCCCAGCCAAGAAAAGTGGCTCTGGTAAGTTCCACAGTACACAGTGCTATTCATTTTTACCATGTGACTGATCTGAGCGCCACTGACCAATCAGCAGTCGGAATGTGATGTCTATTTTGTTTCATACTAATGGCGCTACACACAGAAGCTACAAAACAATCTGTAGTATGTCTTACTGTATTTTACATTAGGAGAAAGGCACAATTTACAGTGGGATTAAGGAAAATTGTATTGGACAGAAGTATTTTAAGTCTAAGGCAGAGGCCAGACAAAATAAACACAACAATTTGTTACTTTGTCCAAAATGCTTCATGATTTTTAAATGGAAATAGTTATATATCCAAATTCCTGACTGAAAGAGTTCAGGTAATGGACACACCAGCATGGCACTTAAATTTTTTTGGGTCATGATTTGATTACCTTAACTACAGCACCATCTGCTGGCTCGTTTCTGTTATGTCACCCAGCCCAAGATCGTGGAGGAGAGCCTGATGTATGCTGAGCTGGAGCTGGTGAAGCCACTGCCTGAGAGCAAATCGGCGTGCTCAGGCACGGTCTACGCTCAGATAGTGTTTGACGAGAGACCGATGTAGAACCGCCCTCTTCCTGTTTGCAAATCACTATTTATAAATGTATATTTGTCTCATTCTATGTGGTATTTTTATGCTTCTAGCTGACTTTTTGGACGAATGTGAATGTGAATTCAGTGAATACATCCTTATGACATTTTGTACAAAGGCAATTTGTTACACCGTACTTAAATGTATTTTTTTAATTTGTAATCAGGCCAGAATTTGGTTTGCATTTAATTGTTTGCATGTATGCATTGCAGGTCACTGCAGATGATCATATTTTTACTGTTTTAATTAATGATTGAATACTGATTTGATTAATTGATGAATTTGTCAGCTTCCTTGCATGCATCTAGCTCTGTGGTGTAATGACTCTTTGCATGTTAATGCAAATAACGAGATATGTCAGATAGCCATTGTGAGGTAATGAATAATGAAAATGAATGAAAGATCACAGCTTGCGGTGAGATGCTTTAAGCTGAATGAGAGCGGATCCCACGCACTCAGACACATACAGAAACATATATCAGGGTCTCTAAATTGTCCAGAGTGTGTGATTATGTGGGTGTGTGTGTCCTGTGATGGACTGGGATCCCATCCAGGATGTCCAATGCATGGGAATCGACTCCAGTCTCACTGGAAGGAGACAGGGATGAATGGATAAATGGAAGCGTTAAGAGCTGGTTGATACTGGTGTCACTGTATTAATCCTAACTAAATTAATCGAGTGAGGATAATGAAACAGGCTCTGCTTTGATTTTGGTCACATTCTGCCAAACTCTGAAACAAAAACAAATAAATGGGAGAAAAAAAGGCATTAAACAGAAAATGTGTTACATGAGTACCAAGACTCTATCACTGGATAGGATCCTGTATCCTCCGAGTATGAACTAGCCACAGACATATGATTAGATGTCTTCATGTCTGTAAATAATATTATGTCCTGCCAGCATTTTCCATTTCTCACATGGAATCCTAGAGGAGACCAACAGCGCCACAATTTTTGTGGTAAATATAAATCTTTCGTAAACTGAGAACTCTGTCAAGACAAGGAGGGATCGCTTTTCTACAAACAATAATATCATAAGAAACATCAACGTAAACACGTTAAAGATGAGTTAGGAAGAAAACAAAATACCAATAAAAGTTTTCTAGAGTAATCCATGCCATGTTCCAATAAACAATTATACTTGACTGCCAAAACAGCAACTCCTAAATGTAAGGGGGCACAGAAAGGGGCTTTTTGGTGACGCCGAGTCTGGGGCACATACCAGAGATCTAGAGAACGTATCATTGTCAGACCCAGACCGAGCAGCACCGCAAGCAGATACCGCTGCGACAGAGAGAGCGAGCGACATGCCGACCCTCCGGTGCGTTTGTCACGAACTCCAGATAAAAAAGGCGTTTTGCAGTAAACAGGAAATTCTGCCTATTCTGATGTTCTGTGGTCTGTACTCAATCCGGGCAACACGTGCGGCATGCTGGGATCTGAGGGGACGGTTTCCATGGAATGATGTCACATGATGCAGCTTAAGAAAGAGCGGCTTGGCCACGAATCTATTAAATCGAAAAAAATCTTTCAAATCTAAAAAACAAACCTGCATGACTTCCTGAAGTACTTGTTAATAATAAGACCATAATTAAAATTTCTGGGAGCTGGGAATTTGACCCAAATATTTTGAAATATACCTCCTTCAACCGGAGACTCACTTTTTTTCCATCCTGACAAAGCATTTTCAGGCCATTGTGCAGATAAAAAAAGCTGAAAATGCTAAAATCTGTCTTTTCAGCACTTCATGATTTCCCGTGTCTCGTTTTGGAGAAATAAAACACGTTACTCACGGATGCTTTTTTTCAAATGCTGAGCCATTCGGACGCTGGTCTTGATGTTTCTCTGTATATGTGATCATGATACTGACTTTAGGCCATTAAACAGTCTTAATCACAAAATAAAAAGAAACAATAAGTAATTATTTGAAGATGCTTTGATAACAAATCAGTAGCTGAAATCCTGAATCAGGATTTGAATTTGTTCTTTAAAAGAAAAATGGGTCAAAACAGAGACAATTAACACAATAAACATCTTTCTTTTTTTTAACACAATTTGAATTTTCTGGTTTGTTTAACTCACAGCTCAATCAAGTGTATTCAGTCAAAAAAACAGCCAGCATTAGGTGGACTATGACTCCCTTTAAAAAAAAAAACATCTTTCTGAGTGATACCCATTTACAGATGTTGCAACATCTCTGGTTTTTCAAAAGAAGGAACTTTGAAGATGGAAATAATTCCAGCAGAGACCACAATTCTGTTGATGTATGTGGCTGCGAACACTGTAAACAATGCAAATCAAAAGTGGGGGCGCACAGCAGCGTAGGGAGGCCTGTGGCCAGAAGAAGCAGAAATAAATTGTATTGATAGGTCCCCCTCAGTAGATTTTGAGGGTGTTTTTTTCACCTGCTACATGCTTGGGCATCGGAGACATATTGGGGTGGGACACAACTTAATTATTTAAATACGAAGGTCTATTTATTGGGGCGATGAATAAAGCCAAATTAAGTATTGGGTGGGACACATTAAAATGTTATGATGACCCCATTTCTATGCCCCCGGGAGCACATCTTCATCCACAGAAGTGCCTTCGTCATTTTTTGAAAGCATTTTCTAAGGTTTCCATTCCCACGCACCCTCGGGCTTTTAAATCTCATCTTTGCTATAGACTCAACGCAAAGCAGAAGAACAACCCATTCCCCTGTTTGCCAGACCAAGTTCCTAACGTGGGTTTTCACTAATTAGCCCTTGCTCGCTATTGTACTCCAAAAATGGTTATTGTGGTAATTGCCCTCCAGCGAAACCAGTTAAAAACAACAGAAAGGAAGTGGCATGAGAGGCTTGTTAGAGAGCAGAGTGCTTGGTGCGTTTACAGCTGGAGGGAGAGAGGCCTCACTGAGGGGGGCTTTGATGTGGCCAGGAAGCAGACAGGTCGCCTGAGACCATCACAACAGACAGAGCCGCCCTCTCATTGGGAGGAGTGAGGTTGCCTTCGTGGGTTCATGGGGGAGGCTTGTACACTCAGACAAAATTATTAGTGTCATATCTCCAACAGATGGTCTGGATGCCTCAGAATGTTGAAATACAGCACACAGAAAACACGAGCCTTCATTTTAAGGGAGGTACAGTAACGCCTCAGTTCAGCCTCTGAGGTCATATTCAACACGAGGTCATATTCGTCATAGATTAATTGACTATTCCTACGATCAACCGTAGCCTGATTACTGGATTAAATTAATCTAAAGAGGCATTCTGAGTGACATTGCAGTCCTTACTCGTACTGCATTGTATTTCTGCCAAATATGCCGTTTCAATGACGTAAAAACAGCGCCCCCCACAGGCTCCGTAATGGCATCGATATATAAATGGTAAAGATGAAAACTTTTGCCCGTCTTCTGTGCTGAGAATGAAAGTGCAAACAGTTAAGGTTAAATCGGTGTCCTCGTTTTTTCCCCCTATTGGTTTTGCTTGGGGACATGAAAATGGAACGAAAACAAACCGACCCTCGGTTGAATTTTGCTGACGGGATAAAATGGGGTGAATGTTAAGTGAAAAGCGGCTGCCTTGCCTTGGAAAGAACGCCGCAAGCTGACGAGGACCGGGTCCGCGCACAACCACGCGAGCCCCCGGGGCATTCCGGGACGGGCCGTCACAGCCAGAAGTCCCTGACTCTGTACTAACTCCCAGAACAGTCTGACACAAAAACACGTCCCACTTTAGAAGATTTTTACAATAAAATTCTTCTATCTTGTAAAATCTCCATTCCGGCTCTATAAATCAACCATGTCTAAGCATTCTTTAAATATAGACATCGACACTGCACAGCAGAATAAATTTATCTTCCCAAGACAGAGTTAGATACGCTGGGTAATTAAAGACTGTTCCAATGAAGTATTCAACGTATGGGCAAACGAGCCTCTGTGAACTCAATGAACAATTCATTGCTGCCCGTTAATGATGCAGTACATCCGAAGATAGAGTCTATTCATGGTATTTGGTTGCTTGCTATATGGTTATTTGTCAACACCAACTGTCGGCAGAAGTTAGTCCAAACTTTATCTGCTCTAGAAGAAGAATGAGGTGCATTAATCAAGAAATTACCTATATGTGTATACATAAGTCCTATTTCAGAGTCTGATAGAGAGGATCCCACAGGCATCATCGTAAGTCCTAATATAGTCTGCTATATATAGTATCGCTAAGGTCGGGTAATGATTTGTAAACGAACTGGCAAATGCCCCTCGTTTGTGCCTCGTTAATTCCATCGCACTTTGCTTTGATATACAATCCCGCTTAACACGATCTTGATTTGTCGGCCTGGCTGCACAAACTAAATGGAAATTGAAGAAGAGAGTGAAGGCAACTGGATAAGTAGCCTATCTGTCGGATAAGTACGCTATAGTGGTTGCCAGACAGTGCAGAAGACAAGGTAGGGTAATTGGTAAGGAGGGTCCGGAGCCTATCCTGGAGGTTATGGATACAAGGCAGGGAACAACCCAAGATGGGCCGCCAACCCATCACAGGGCACACTCACACACCATTCACTCACACACCATTCACTCACACACCATTCAATCACATCTTGGTAACTCCAATTCACCTCACCATGTTTTTGGACTGGGGGGTGGGAACCGAAATACCCAGAGGGAACCTCACAATGACACGGGGAGAACATGAAAACTCCACACGTGGAATCACGGTGGAGACTCAAACTCCGGTCCACAAGGTGCAAGGTAGTGATGGACAAAATGGCGCTTCGTGAACCATTTTTTTGTATTTTTTGACCCCAGTGGATGGTGCTCTGTTCAAAAAGGGTACAAAGCATGCCCCCAAAACAAACCAAGAGCACCATCTAGTGGGGTCAAAAGATATAGCAAATGGGTCACGAGGCATCATTTTGTCCTTCACTAGTGTGAGGCAACAGTGCTAAACACTGCACCACAGTGTCGCCCATGAACACATTCATAACACATTATAATGCATTCATAAGGCATTATAAGCATAGCTATAAATATATATTTTTAAAAGCATAACATTAAAGCCTTGTTTATTATGTATCATGAATGCTTTATGAAGCCCTCATCTACAATGCAGATACCTTCATAATGCCGTACAAAACATCTCTAACTCTTTTACCTACCATTATATGCATTATGAAGGTATCCACAGTGCACCATAGATGAGAACTATATTGAAGCTTTTGAAGTATTATAATCAAAACTATAATGCCTTATGAATGTCATGAGAACATGCTGTAATGCTTTATGAAGGTATCTACAATGCATCATAGATATAGATGACAGCTGTAAGTGCTACCAATGTGATTTATATATAATGGTTTTGGAAGTTATGACAAGATGCCCTTACATTTAAAGACAACAGAAATATTTTGTGTGAATTATGAAACTAAAAAAATAAAATTTGGGGTTTTAGGACAATTGCAATTGTGTCATACTTAGTTGCTTACAAACAATAATTAACAGTTTGGGACATTTCAAGCGCATGATGTCACAGTGTTAAAGGGAATGATAAAGACTTGAATTTTTAATCACGGGTTAAATAAATGTATATTACCTTGTGTTACCTTATATTTAACCGAATGTTTTATGCCTATTTCGTGCCATATGGTGCCATCTGCTGGTTATAAACGGTATTAAGTAGTTGTCACTTGATTATATAAATATACTATATTTATAGTGTATTTTAGATTTTTTTTTACAGTGTTTACGTTACTATATAAAATAAGAAAAATTCGAAAATATTAAGGATTTTTTAAAGCTGCAGTGTTTCATTGGTGTGATAAAACGATTGTACTTCATTATGCTGTTTTGGTCTTTATAGAATACATTTATGAATCTGATGCAAACCATCCCTCATAATCCGGTCTATAAAATGTCATAGGGTCTAACAAGACATGACATTAAAGCTTAATTTCATACATGATTTCAAAAAGCACGTTCCGAGGAAGAGGAGAACGCAGCTTCCCCGCGACATCATGCCGTATAGAGCGCTGCAGACATGACTGAACATAATAGATGTTCACAGGGTAGATTAATTTATTTTAATATAGTTAATTTCCTTTGAGGCAAATGAGTAATCTGTCGCGAAATAAACCAAAACCGATTACAGCAGCGGTATTTCAGACTTGGCAGATATCTCAGTAGCCCCCGGCACTACTTTTCTGTTACTTGGTAACAAACTTAAACAAGACGCGGTTTCATTTACAATGTCTACAGCGCTTCATTAAGACGCTTTCCGTTCCGGGCCCGACGATGAGATTCATTTACAGGCGTCACAAGATCATGTATTTATAATTCACAGCAACACTGACGGTCGCATCCAGTCCGTGCGCACAGTATCAGTGTTTGAAGTTTGCCGAGTTCCGCAGACTGAAGCCGCCGGTCTAACACCGTAACTGGTAAGAACGAAATTATTCATTTATATAAGAGAGCCACTGGAAACTGAAATATTGATTATGTTAGTCGTGATAAAAGAAACAGATACTTCGTTTTTTATACATTATATATATATATATTTAGACCAGGAGATGAAAAATCTGATGCACTTCAATGTCATTTTCAAGTCTATAATGTCGGATCTAATGTCATTTTTAAATTAATGACATAAATCATAGGCTGAACGTTTTTATGAACTAAAAGGCAACATTTCAAAACCTCTTCACGAGTAGCTTTTCAAAACTCCCATCAGTGCCTTTCACTGTTACACACACAGGACGGTCAGACATCACGTGGCTGACCTTAACTTCCAAGCACAAAGATCACGACAGGGATGTTAGCTAAATGGTGGGAGGTCTCACAATGAAATTCATCTTCTCATCTATTAACCCCGCCACCAGCAGATATTTTCATCTTATTGTCAGAGCGATCTGTGGTATATATAATTAAGGGAAAGATGTACGTTTGAGCTGAAATATCAAAAATTCCGTCAGATAATTCCGAGCCCTGATGTCAGTATCCCTACACAGCTGGCTACAGTTTCCTTTATTGGTTTGATGCTCAGATTCAGTCGGGCAATAGGCCAGGAAACAGTGTAATTAAAAATGAATCAGAACAGGTCACTGTGCAATTAACAGACTGTGTCTACAAGGTATTATTAATGCATGTCAAAAACGGTAAAATACATTTTTAAACTTATTGAACGCACATGTAACAGATTCTGATGTATCAGACAGCTCATGATTTTGGCGAGAAAATCGGTGACTTTCCTCCGGACAGGGAGATGAACACAGGCAGGATGAGGGGTGAGTCTCAGGGGAAGAAGATCACACTGAAGATGGCCAGGAACGCGCTGCGGGTGACTGTGGACGGCCGACGCCGCCTGGACCTGAGCAACATGCAGATGGCCGAGTTCCCCCGGTGCCTGCTGAGGTTGGCGGACGTGGAGGAGCTGGACCTGAGCAGGAACCGGCTGCAGAAGCTGCCCGAATACATTGAGCGGTTCCACAACCTGCGCTGGCTGGACCTGCACAGTAACCGGCTGGCGGAGATCCCGGCGAGCATCGGGCAGCTGCAGGGCCTCCTCTACCTCAATCTGTGCAACAATCAGCTGTGCAGCCGCGGGCTGCCTGAGGAGCTGGGCCAGCTGGACCGCCTGCGCAGCCTCAACCTGGGCATGAACCGGCTGGAAAGTCTGCCATACTCCATGGCGACTCTCAGGGAACTGCGCGAGCTGGGTCTCTTCGACAACCAGCTGACTCAGGTGCCCGACTGCCTGCGCCGGCTGCCGCACCTGCGCAAGCTCAACGTCTGCCGCAACCCCATCCGCAGCCCGGACGACGACAGCGGCCGGGACCCCATCCGACGGGTGGAGTGTTTCTACCTGGTGGACGGGGACGGCCTGTGCGAGACCTGCACGCAGAAATGCCGAGAGAAGCTCGGGAGACTAGACCAGCTCCGGTCGGGTGTCGGCCACGCCCACAGCAGTTCTGTTTGGCTACTCACGCCGAACTCTGTGGCGAAGGAAGTCCAGGCGCTGCGGCAATGACCGCCGTCAGCCTGACACGCGCGTGTAAATTTTTAACCTGCGATGTAACGGGAGACACGGAGTGAGTGGAGTCAGAGTCACGCTCGCCGAATTCCAGCACCGAGATCGAACTTTACTGCAGTTGCTGTAGAAACTGACCACTGATGCAGAAGCTGCTGCTCTATAAAGTCTCAAGAATGTGGAAATCAGGAATATTCATAAGGTTACAGTCTTCACCATACTGCCTTCGTGATGTAAATATTTACTGTAATTTTACTTTTGTCATGGACGTCAAAAAGGTTGTGTCTAAAATAATCGACTGTATCATTTCTGTAGGTCATAAATGTGTTGCTCTGTGACTATAATTAAAGAATCAATCTGCAAACAGAATGTCATATGTCCATCCATCCATCCATCCATCTTCTATACTGCTTGTCCTATTCAGGGCCACGGGGGGGGGTCTGGAGCCTGTCCTGGAAGCTATGGCCGTAAGGCAGGAAATAACCCAGGATGGGGTGGAATCTATCGCAGGGAACAGATTATTATACGTGTCACTGGATAACAGCTGCTATACTACATACTGTTATCTCAGTTCTTTGTGTATTTTCCAACCAGTTATCCCAGTCAGTATCATGAGGAGCCAGTTCCAGGCAGCAAACTGCACAAAGCTGCGATACACACTGGATGTACTGCCAGGCCATCGCACGGTACATACATGCACTTCAGAGATGCCACTTAGCCTCACTGCCCGTCTTTGCACTGCAGGGGGAAGCCCACACGACAGTTAGATCTTGCAAACTATACAAATATACATACATACACCCCCCCATGTATTCCTATCTTTATGGGGACTCTCCAATCATTTCTATGGGAAAAACCCTAATCCCAACAATGACGGCCTAAACCCAGCCCTAACCTTAACCACAAGTAACCAAACAAAAATTACTTTTGGCATTTTTAGTCTTTTGACTGCAGGCACAGATTTTTATACAATCGAGTTTTCCCTTGTGGGAGTCGAAACAATGGTCCCCACAAAGTAATAATATATACATGACCAAGCACACAGCATGGGGTAGGATTCAAACCCCCAGTGCTGTATGTGTGCAACAAAGTCAGCGGCTTTGCCACTTTTTGGAAAAATAAACTATCCAGGAGTCATTATACGAATGAAGAAAGGACCGAAGACTTTTGGCTTGTGATTTATAACAGAAAGAATGTGAACCCTGTTCGACCTAAGACAAACATCCCTTTGCCAAGTGAAAACTTGTAGGAAGGGTCCAATAAATTAAAATATTTAGAATTTAATTGCCATTGTTCACACACCACAGCGAAATGTGTTCTCTGCATTTAACCCATATGTGACATAGCAGGGGGCAGCTAATTCAGCACCCAGTGAGCAGTACCTTGCTCAGGGTACCTCAGTGGTACCTTGCTGGTCAGGGATTCAAAACTGCAATCATTCAATTACGAGGTGTACTTCCCTGACCATTAAGCCACCACTGCTTACCAGCCTTACACAAGCTTTTAATAAAAAATTTCGCACAAGCTTTTGAGTGCTTTAGAATTCATCTTTAAAAAGTTAGTTTTCAATGAAGAACTTTTTTTCAGTTTAGATGGGATGTTGTTGCTTCTAAAATAGGGCATCCGTCTTAATAGTTCAATACGTGATGCATCAGAGTTAACTTACAGCACGATGTGAGTAAAAGTGAAACACATTTCTGAACTTCCTCCTCTGATAAATCTGTCTGCTTTTCATCTCCCTTTTTGCTATCAAATATGAAAGCTGCACCTGCCCCCCCCAGCAAAACACAGCAGGTGCACTGTTCGTTTTAATAGGTCAGAGCACTTGCGTTTCCTGAGAAATCTTGTTTTTCTACAGTGAAGCAAAATGTTGGTGCACACAGCAGAACATAGTCAGCAATGCATGATGCAAGTGAAGTGAGGCACTTAAGAAGCAAGTGGGATGACCAGAAGGTTGTAGGTTTGAATCCCACAAGGTGCTTTATTGAAGCCGTGTTGCACATACTTGCTGGTCTTTTTCTTATTACCAGCATTACTTCACTCCTCCTTATTTATGATGAATTTATTATACTATAAATTTGTCTTATTACTTTCAATATTCTCGTGGCAGGGTTGGCGGCCTTGCATTTCACTGCAGTTCACAATTGCACCGTATACTTCGCATGTCACAAACAAATCCCTTAAATCTTTGTTCTTCTCCGGCACAGACCTGATACGGTGGGTAGGACTGTCAGCTTTCACTGGTTACCTTTATATTCAGATCTTGATCATAAAAAATGCACACTAAACAAGCATTAGAAGTTGCTGCCTAATTACAAAAGAAGAACCACTGAAACGAATTTCAAGGCGGAAACATGTTGATTAATTACTACTCACACATCAGCCGTTACGTGAGAACCTTTTCGCTATCCCAGAATGCGTTTCACTGTGACCTCCCGTTAGTCATGCAATCGGTTTTGAAAATGACTCGCTTATCAGGAGCAGCGCCACGTCGATTTTTAATATTATTAATTACATTAAGTCCGTTTTCTGTTAAGAGAAACTGATAGCAACATTGTTTTAGTGTCACATATATAAATTTGCTTATCACGAGTTAAAAATTTTTAATGATGTGCGGTGTTTCTGCATTTATTCCCAGGCGTTTTCGGCAGAAATAACATTAAACACCGGAAATCTACCACAACTACTCTGCTGGAAGTACAGCGCCCTCTAGTGGTATAACAAATAAAGTCCACCCTCTCTGAATTCCTTCGATATTGTGCAGGAATCCAAGCGGCACTGGTTACTTAACTGCATCATAAATATTATTCTTCACAGCCCAACCGGCCACCTCAAAACATCAGGTCATAACAGAAGCATTTAAATCAATCAAACAATGACATGGAATAAATAAGCGATGGATATAGAAAAGACATAATACGCCAGGACGCGTCATGCAATCTGAGAAGATTATTAGGAGCTATTTGCTGTGGCATTTAGCAATAAACAGGACGTCTGCCCATCAGGGCGAGCGATAACATCAACTCGCATCTCAATTGAGCTGTAATGCATCAGATCCCATCAGCATTAAAGATTACGTGTATAAATCCCATCAAACCACTAGTTATCGTAGGATTCATTTGCATTTTAATTAACTCTCGAGAAAATGGTAATGTTAATGAGAAGGATGTGTATCCGGGGGGCTTTCAGCGTCACCAAAATGATTGTATAAGAAGTGGTGCTCATTAGCCTATGTGTTGAATAAAACTGTAATTATGCCTATAAAATATAGGCCTATATATTTATTTTGATTTATTAACCTGGGTTTCTTTTTTCAAACAGACAAGTCTGTCAGAGGGTCCTTCATAGTCCTCCTTCATCCGTACATTTTCAAATTCACTACCTAAAATATACTATCGTCGCTATTTTTGCGAAATATGTAGCCTACCTAATATGACGATCGCACGGCCTCCCGCCGGACGCCAGCCTGCTGCTACTGTTTGCCAAAAAACTAATCTAAACAACTCATTACTTTCGTGTCTGAAAACGATTTACTGTTGAAAGCCAAAGCAGGAGAACTGACTGGTTTCTATGTTTTATACGTATTGGACACTCCTACCAAGAGCGACATATATTATTTATTCATAACGTGTATTTATTTTAATATATTGGCGAGAATCAATCGGCTCAGCTTACAGCTTTATAGATAATGCAGGTTCACATTTCACTGGCTAAGGTTAAGTAACCTTCTGGGAATGGGACGCTTTCTGATACGAGCCGGTTACCGGCTACCAGCAAATACAAACGGCAGAAACAAATAGCATTTTACCGCAGTAATGTATCAAATAAATCGTTGCTGCGGAGGTTACTGCATTTAGTTATTTCAAAGGAGCACAAACATAATGGCTTTAAAAGACTTCAGGAAAGGTTAGGGCAAATGGAATTACCTCTGCCTTCAACCTCGTTAAACATTTATTGTGTGTGAAATTATATTTCTCCATTCTGACTCTGAGGAGGCTATGCAATAACAAAGCATTATGGGCAGATCTGACGAGATTTCATTCCTTTTAAATTATTAAAAGGGCCTAACCGTCGTTTTACATCGTTAGGGATCTGAGCTGAATGTAAATCAAGGCTAAAAACACATTAACAATTCCGGTGGAAATGGTCCTTTTGCGTTACATTTTTCTCGTAAACATATAGTAAAAACTGGCAGCGCGTTATGAAATGAAACTGAGGGCTGAATTTCCCCTGACATTAGATTTGCGGTACTGCCTTCTCATCTAAGTTTAACTACTAAGCAGAAGATGGTTGTCAAGACAAATGTCCATGAGAAGATATCCATCCATCCATCCATCCATCCATCCATCCATCCATCCATCTACCTTTCAACTTCTTATCCAGTTCAGGGTTACAGTGAGAGGGACCATCCTGTTTGGAATGGACTGCCAGTACATCATAAGGCAGATATACAGGGATATATGTAATAAAATCAAGCAGTATGTTACATCAATAATGTATCATATAAAATTCATATAGCCTATTATAAAAGAATAAAAGATGATGATGAGATTATGCTGATTATAAATCTAATCTGTAAAAAATATATTTTTCATACAAGTCAACACTTATTTTATATTTTTGTATAAACATCACTGTGTGTTCGTATTTGAAACCTTACATACTGTATATTGCCTTCATATGTCGCTGTACAACACTCAGCAGCCAGTGAAATTGGGCCACGGCGATTATTTGGCATGTAATATCTGAGGCAATGATACCATCACCATCCCTTCTCTACAAAATCTTTCTTAATTTGATCCCTATCTGGCAAATTAGATTTTGTCCTAATCGGGCACATTCAGCCATTTCAGTGCCCGCCTGAAAACAGTTTTGGTCGTTTCCATTGTTTCCTTCTAAACTGACACGGGATCGATGGTCAGTAGCTTAGCGTCGGACTTGAAGCATTCACTTGGTCCGTATGTTGCTTCCACATATGTGCACTACATGATGTTTGCTGGCTTAGCGTGAAGCACTATTCCCTCATACCTCCAGCGTTGGTGGGGCTCAGATCCCGTCTCTGCTCTGTGTGTGGCTTTTACGTGGTACGTGTGGGTCTCCTCCAGCAGACCTGCAGTAAGGCTAATTGGCATCTCTAAAATTTCCCATAGTGTTTGTGTATGTGCCCTGTGATGGACTGGCATCCCGTCCAGGATGTACCCCAGCCTTCTGCCCTATGCTGCCTGGGACAGGGTCCAACCACCCCCTACCTCAGGATAAGCAATCGGAAGTCGGTGTAATGGACAGTCTTAAAAACACGAACAAGGTGATACTGAATGAGAACAGGAGCGGGCGTTTGCATATGTATTTTAATCACAGATTTTCTAATCTATAATATCTATAATAGGTACCTTAGGAGAGAAAAGCAAGCATTTGTACAACCTGTAAACCTTTAAACGGGCAGCGTAAGCCTACGCTGGCATGGCGCTGGGCTGGGAGGACTGGCGGATGTGGTGTCCGTCTCCTCCCAGCTGGCCTTTCCGTGCGTGCTGATACGCTGCTTTTTATTGTGGTTATTTTCAAAGGCGATGGCCATCGGGGTCCGGCAGTAACGATGCTGCGCTCCATTTAACTCGGATCCTCGTGCCGCCCCGTGCACCGGCATTTCCGCATAATCGCGGCTCTGAAAGTGCGGCTCAGTGGTTAAAAGCGACATTTTGATTTCATCTAGAAATACAATTTGTTTCTGTGGCAATCGCAAGGCATGATGAATCTGACCTAACAGATCAGGCCGAATCGAGAGTAAACGGGCATCAGAACCATTGGTCGATATTCGACACGGTTATTTTTACACTGAGGGTTTGATCAGTGCAAACTAGCTCCTGATTCACGAGTAGCATCTTTTAACTTCTGACATTATGTGTGATTGTGAATTACAATAAATCCAAGTATATGCTACAGCATTCTGTATACCGGGACCTGTCACTGAACTTAATTGAAAGGAATCAATTTCCCCTCGTTTCCGATAATGGCATCAGCCTTTCTGTTTATTTTCTGAATACACGAAGGTCCTGTTTTACCTGCATTTATAGGCACCTGAATTATTATCCCTTATGCAGGCTTACAAGTCAATTTAGAGTCAGAGGTTTTTTTGTTGTTGTTGTAAGTGATCTTAAGTCGCCTATGACGGAAAGATGATTGCAATGCATTTGGAGTGAAAGACCCAGAGCTTTTTAATATTGAAACATCTGTGAAAGACTTACAGTCCTCAAAGCCTGTTTAAAACCATAATGGCCTTTAAGAGCCAGTTTGAAAGAAACCACTTCATATTCCTTAGGCTGACTATGCTGCTGCCATTCACTCACAGGGAAATTAAATGATGTTTTACTATAACCGGGATGCCAGTCAATGTGAGGGGCAGGATGAAGCTTTGGAAAATCCATCCATCCATCTATCCATCTATCTATCTATCTATCTATCTATCTATCTATCTATCTATCGGTCTGTCCATCCATCCATCCAGCCATCCATCCATCTATCTATCCATCCATCCATCCATCTATCTATCTATCTATCTATCTATCTATCCGTCCATCCATCCATCCATCCATCCATCAAAAATGGCTGTTCCCTGTGAAGACCTACAGACAAGATTCAGGAAAGTATAGATATACTTATATTTATAAAGATGCATTTCAAAACAAAGTCATGAAAATATGTGATTAATTTCCAGAAAGAGCAGACAAATCTGGATTTTGACCTTTGTGCACAGTCACACACACATCCTGCACGGATATCGTCAGTAAAGCGGCCGGTGTGAACTGATGCGTGTGTCTGTGTGTGGGCGTGTTTAAATTAGCTTCAGTGGTTCAGAGTTTTCACTTCTGCATTGCGTGACCTGTGTCTCTGTGGTCCAACCCCTTTGCCCGGGGCGGTCATAGGGTTCCCTGTGTAGCAGTTTCACTTTTACGTCGTCTTTTTTTTATCATTTCATTCTAAGTGTCTCCTTTTCAGACACTGCCTCTGTCAGACTGTCCTCTGCTTCGCTGCTGAATGTCATTTGAGCAGAAGCTGCAAGCTCAAGGTAACTCAGACTCTCCTTTACATGCTACAGCTTCATAGCATCTCATGACTGTGGTACGAGGATGAAAGCTCAACAATGAATGCTTGTCTTACGATGTTCATTGAGTAGCTATCTAAAATGTGAACATGTGGTTCCTAGAACTAGGATGATATGTCACATGGTAAAATTCACAGAATAACGGAGGATGCAGACGGCTGATGTAGCGCCATCGTGGTTCAGTCATACGATATTTAACGAACTCTGTGTTGGCTGAAATCAAGTATACTGCCTGAGACACCTGTCCAGGAAGTGAATTACATCATTCAGGATACTTTGTTTGGCAAAGTCTCTAATTTCATCTTTTCATTTTGATGTCATATGTTTGAGACACTATATAAACAAAACAAGCTGCAGCTTGAATTAATCAGGTGGAGGGGGGTAATTGTTTTTTTTTTTTTGGTAAAATATTCAAAATGATTTTTCCACTATTTATCAGATGTCATCCCTGGAGAATTATTAGAATAATAACATGAACAGACAACCATCACCAATAATATGAGCGAGAGATTAGCCTAAAGGCACAAATTAAAAAGCATTAAAGTCCCACTCGTGATACGCAGCACAGCCGGCGTTTGTCGTTCCAGGGGGACGAGCGTCTTAAGGGTGCAGGTACAATCCAGCTAGCTGACTGGTTGGACCAATCACCATCCACGTAGGCGATGATGACAATCTGTTCGACATCGATGGGAGTCGGGCGGTGCGTTTGACAGCTGTACACGATGACTGGGCATTCTCAAGCACACATATTCATCCAGAATTTGATTCTGGTGGAATTTGATTATATGGGAAACTTAATTTGGCGGATTTCGGTCGCCATTATCGTGCCTGATGGAGGTCTTGAGCTTTGAGGCCTGTGTAGATGTAGCAAGAGCTGATTTTGTACGCAGTGACCTGAATGGCGTGATCCCACTGTTGAAAGGCATCACCTCGCGGCATTTTATAACTTTGCAACATTACGTTGCACTGCGATTCACTTCAATATCAGAGTGTCCCTGAATCAATTTCCTTATGTCACCTCATTTTAAAAATGGTCTTTTACATGGTCATTTGTATCCTGTCACCCGTCTGAATTAATTTACTCATATCTACTTATGTTCCATGTAATAACTTATGTTCGGCGTGATGTATTCAGTAAGCTGTGAGGGAAATGCATTCGCTGGAGTGGCCATTTACTGTACATTAAAATAACGACGTTTAAAGGAGTTAAATGCTGTATGAGATCTGATGGCTGAAAATCTTGACATTCAGCAGAACTTCAGCGGCATGTTCCATCTGGGGCTTTTACTTAAGACAATCATAAAGATCATTTCAGTCACTGACTCACATGGGACGGCCCAAAAAGTGAAGAATGGCCACAGATGAGCAGTAACGCGAGAATCGGCCCATTGGGGCGTGACAGCGTAAAGCCCTGACTGGATGCACACACGGGCGCCTTAAGCAGAAGAATAAATGCTCCGTAGGTAACTGATGTGTTTAATCAACAGACACCCTGTTGGATAAATGAATGATAATGGAAGTGTGAGGTGGTTTTAGAGCAGGCAGAATGGAGTCCTCACATACCTCATCCTGCTTTCCTGCGAGACGCGTGGAAGTGAGACTGAGATTTGGGGTCACATATATTTCCAGCAACCCAGGAGCAGTTTTTGTGATTAAGGACCTTGCTCAAGGTCAGCAGTGATGCGATTAGTCTGACAGCTGTGAGCTTCAACCCAAAGACCTTCCGGACGCAGGTAGAGACTGCTAGCTAACCCACAGAGCCACACAGAGGGCACAGACACATCCTGAATCATGTGGATCTCGGACGCAGAGGTAACCTTATTGGCTGCTTGCCTTCGGTGTGGAGGATGGCAGAAACGCTGTACTGACAAAACAAAGTAAAGTCACATACAGAAAATAATGTTTCAGATGGATCCAACATCACGTGTGAGGCACGTTGCTGCGGCAGCCCTGATTTACGCTCTGTGTTCACGACTCACGGATCTTATGTAGCATCCCGGCATTTCGTAAATGGGGAACAGATTTGGGGATTTGCATTAGCCACGCACAGACCAGGCTCTCGCTTAGAGATCCTCGCCAAAAAAGCCGCAGTCCGAGCAAACCCTGTCTTTTTGAACGTGTCGCTCTGATCTGACGATGGACGTTATATGGGAATGGATCAGCAGACAGAGCAGAATGGTCAGTGAGAAGCGGACAGCCCCAGGAGCCCATGGGGACATGGCCTGCACCAGGGGGGTGGGGGGAGGGGGGCAGGGGGCGGGGTTTAGGCCAGCTGTGGCCCTGTTTCTCACTAATGAGAGCCGGCTGTGGTCGGCAGCGCTGCACTGATTCAATCGTTGGCGGAGGCTGGGTCCTTATTGTGCCTGGGGGTGGGGGGGGGAGGGGGGCAGAAGGAGTCCTTCTCTGGTGGTTCTCTGTACAGACAGCGGCGGAGGGACAGCCGTACAGAAAGGAACAAGCCATTTTCAAATCAGAGAGCAGTACATGAGTGTTTTTTTTGTGGGGGGGGGGGTTGGGGATGGACACTGCTGGGCTCTTCGGTTTCAGCTCTGGCCAATTACCGGCAGCCAGCCAGGGCCTGAGCGTAGGGGCCAGTGTGAGATTGATTCTGGGGGGGTGGGGGGGGGAGTGGGGAGAGCGATGCTCCGGGGAGGCTGTGCTCAGGGCGGCGTCCGGGAGGGGGTGGGCAAAGGGGCGGAGCTACGCCCTCCCCGCTCTGGCGTCGGCTGCCTTTCCGCCTGGGCCAGAGGGGAAGGAGCGCGGCTACACAGCGGCGGAGGCTCGTACTCGCAAGCAGGGGCAAGCGGCGGCATGAGGAGAGGCGGCGGTCGGACGGGCGTCGTGGCTGACGGGGGGGCGGCTGGCCGGCCGGCACGACGATGACAGCGATGCTCAGTCCAAAGATCAGACAGACGCGGAGAGGTGAGTCACTCCCATCCGCTTGCGCCTCATTTCCTCCCAGCTTCACGTCTCATGGTGAAGCCTGACAGCAGAGCAGTGGCCTCTGTCACCAGCAGAATTTGGATCCTTTTTCCTGAAAACGTTTCTCCAGTGAGAAGCGCTGAAAGTAAGACGGCAGCTGCTCTGAGCTACACGGTGCCGCTTTCCCGCGCGTCAGGCGTAACCAGCTCCCAAACGGCTCACAGTTTCCGCTGAAGTCCTAAATCATTGCTGCTTTTTTTGTTTTGTGATGCTTCTGATACCATCCTAAATAAAGACTCATGTTTAGTTTATATATATATTTATATAGAGATTTTTCCATAACCAGCTTCACAGAGATCAGTGAAATGCATCTTTGTGAAGTTCTGATTGCAGATGTAAGGTTGCATGGGATGTATGATCGCTCGCGGTGGATGTTGAGGGACCAGGTGCTGAACTTGTTTCTGGGTTGATCTTCACGGTCTGCTCCCCCACCCTGGTGTCACCTGCCGGTCGCTTCTGCGGGGTGATGGAGGAGTGGTCGGGCAGGGCTGTGGGTGACGCTGGCTCAACCCGGGAAATGACGCACCTCTCAGTGTCTGTTAGTACAATGGCTCCGGGGGACTTCGGGTGGGGTCCGACAGCAGACCAGGGAGGCGGGCAGACAAGGAGGGGGGGGGGTCGCTCTCTCAAAGCCACTGACCCAGGGCTCAGGGAGAAGATGTGGTCGTGAACTTTACAGCCCCGTGTTGGAAACCAAAGCAAAGGGAAGAGCATCATTTGAGATGCGTAGAGGTGGAAGGGAGGGCAGAGGGATGAATGAACGTGTGCGATTAACGATCCGGTGCGTATCGAAGCCACGCCGGTCACCTACGGCGACAGTTGTTAAAGAAACCCAGGATTTTCAACCTCCCCTCCTCCCAATGAAACACCCATGGCAACGGGATGGGGGTGAATCATCCAGTTGGGGGGGGGGGTCTAAATGAGCAGGGGGGCTGGCAGCAGCCAGTCAGAGCACTTCCGTGGATGCCGGTGGTGTCACTGCCGGGGATGCCCGGGGGTGGGGGGCGGGGGGGTTAGGGAGTTACCAGAACGCAGTCCTCATGGCTCTTTCACCACAGCAAAAAAAAAACATCACGCGCTGGAGAGACATGAGTCAGACGAGGCCGAAAAACCCATTTGCTAATGGAGATGAGGTGGCAATTCCGGCCCTTTCCAATTTTCCTAAAGGAGGGAGACCCCCCCAGATCCGGAGCAGGGCCTGACAGAGGCCAGTGGGGTGGAGGGATACAGCAGCATGGCTCCGTGCGACGCCTTCAAATATTCATGACCCAACTCTTTTTTCCTTAAAACGTGCGTCATCCAACTTTAACAAGCCACGCACCGCGCCTGTACCGTGCAGCGCGGGGACGAGGTGACTGGGATCGCTCCGTTTTTGTTTCAAATGCACCTTTACACATTAAAAACTTTTTGTTTGTTTTTTTTTGTAACATCTGTCAGCGGAAAGCCAAAAGCCGGGTAAACAACTCGCAAATCTGTTTTACAGAAGACAAGGGGAAAGGACCTTTGACTGCGGCGAGCTTCTGTGGGCCATGTAGCATTTTCCTGCGGCCTGTAAACGAATTAACAAGCTGCCTGCGTCTGGCTGGGTGCAGTAATGAGGCTGTTTATGCATCTGACGGATACCAGCTGACTTCTTACGAGCCCCTGTAATTTGGCCTAAATGAGGGATGTGATTGATCGTATTGCCTGAGACACCTGTTAACGCAAGGAGAGAAGTAGGAGTGGTGAGAATCTTTTTTAGAGTAATTCTCAGAGTGGCCAGCAGGTGGCATGGTGGTCAAAGACACCGTAACCTGTACTCGTCTTTCAGCCTGAAGTGACTCACTAAAATATTGCGGTAGATATATGGGGGGAAGTGTTGGATCACAGGATGGAGCTTTTGGCTGCTGGTTCAAATCCAGTTTTATCACTGTGACTCACCTCAGTATCATGCAGCTACAGGCGGATGCAGTATATAAAGGCAGCACCCTCCTCCCCCATGGCCTCTACCATCATCGGGAGGAAAAGTAACATAAAGGAAAAGAAAATCCAATTGATTTTCTTTTTACAGAATTGATCTGTTGCCCCCCCCACCCCCCCCACCACCCTGGCACAGAGACGCAACAGAAATATAACCCTGGACATTGATTGTGATGAATAATCCATGACTGTGTCTTTGTTCTGAGTGTTTTCTCCCTGAATTAGGGCTTGGAGCCCCAGAATCATGGAAGCTACGGCCACACCCTGTTTTTGGGACGTTCTAACAGCTGAGGCCTTCAGAGTAAATCGACAGGAGGCAGTTTAGCCAATTTTAGTTCCTCTGCTTTTATGAATTATAAATGGTGCTCAGATGCTACTGAATGTTTCCCCACTGCTAGCAGGCTACCTCAGACAGCTACTCACCAGAAGCTCGCCCCGTTGTGTGAAGAATAAATTCTTCCTCTTCAATAATGCTCACACACTTCTGCTTTGGGATCAATACTGAGATTAGCATAGTCTCCAGAGTCGACCTTATCTCCATCCTCAGCTTTTTTTTTTCCTCATCGCTTTTTTTCTGAGATTAAGACAACGAACGGCTTTGGAGTTAAATGCAAACCAACGCAAACGAAAGCTTCAGGCTGACTGGCTCAGCGATGACGACGGCTGACAGGGATCTCGTGAGGGTTATTATTGCAATGCCACTTGCCAGATCCAGGACTTAGCATTAACGTCTAATTATTAAATTCAGTAACTGATACAGGATGCTGGGCGTCTCAGCCACCGAGTTGCTATGAAACCGCACGAGCATGTTTTTGCCGAGTGCGCCGTAACGAGAATTCACTCCCCCCCCATCATCCTCCTGTCACGGCACGCGGCTGTGCGAATCGCCTTCAAAGGACGCACCGATCGAGCCGAAGGTCATATTAACGTGTGCTAATGCAATAAGCTGATACTCGATTTTCTACCCACTGTTACCAATCGCAAGTGTACATAGACTAAACGCCATGGCTGATTTTGCTTCTCCTAAGTTTCTCCAGGTTCCAGAATCGGCATAAATATATATATATATATATATATATATGTGTATGTGTGTGTGTTTTTTTTTGCCACTCCAGCCAGGTCCAAGAGCATGGTCATGGGGGAGCTGACCCGGCCCCCTGGCCGACCCTGCTCCCCCGGCCCCCAGGAGAGGGCGCTCAAGGCCGGCTGGCTGAAAAAGCAGAGAAGCATCATGAAGAACTGGCAGCTCCGCTGGTTTGTGCTGCGGCCCGACCAGCTCTACTTCTACAAGGACGAGGAGGAGACCAAGCCGCAGGTGCCCTTCTCCCTGCTCACGCAAGCCAACACTCCCACGGAGCACCCACATCGTGTCCCGCCCCCACACGGCTCCGACCCCCTCATTCCACTGCAGTCTGTAGTCTAGAGACAACAGTTTGACTTTGTAAGCTAAGCCAGGTCTAAAGATCCCTGCAGTGAATCTTGAGATGTCACTGAAATTATTTTCTATTCCATTTAAAAAGTCATTTAGGGTATTTATTTCATTTTTTGACAAGGTTAGTTGGCATGGTTCGTGACCATAAACAACCGCAAAAAATTTGCAGTGAAGGAATGCTGATGCTATTATGGATTTTGACTGACATTTCTGCAAGGGTACTGACCTTTCCCCGCCATTAATCGATGGCTTTCCGGAAACCCAAGCATCTTACTCCACGACAGAGACAAACAGGCCGAATTAGCGGGCTCCGCCCTAATAAAAGCACATAACTCACGCACCGCGGTTCCCCGGGAATGGAGTGACCGCCATCAGCGCAAAACTGACAGGTGGCCCATCTACTTAATCACCACGGTTACGAGCTGAATGCATTACGAGCAAAACGCGGAGCAAACTCCTTTCAGTTCTCGCAGAGATGGGGGAGACATCTGACAGTGTGGCACTTATTCATATAAACGTCTATGTGAATTTCACAGTGTGGGGCTCTTTGAAAATAGACAGCGATGGAATTATGGGATGCCCCACACCGTGAGATGAGAACGTGTCCCCAGTGACTTGCCAACGTCGAGTCCATTAGCCCGTCGGTACGCGCTGCCGCTCTTGTCGCCATGACAACACACCAGGCCATGACTACACCCTCCTCTCTCTCTCTCAACGATGTCTGAGAGCAGTTTCTGCGCTGCTGCCCTTACGGTTGGATGTGGGGCGGAGCCTGGGATGAGCTGGCCTTGGGGGGGGGGGGGGTTTCCATCATCATTTTTGTTACGATTATCACTCTCCTTCACGGCCCCAACAGATTCAGGCCTCCTGGGGGGGTGGGGGGGGACCGGGACTTTGGCAGCAGAAAATGGGGGCACAGATAAGGTCAAGCGCTATGATTTCCTCTTTAATGTACTGCAGAACACAAAGGAACCAGTGGAAAATAGCTGGGGGGGGGAGTTTACAGAGGGGGGTGGGAAACGCATCTAGTGGGCCAGCCTTTTTATAGCTCTGTCAGCATCTGGTCACTATATTTCCTATTTCCAAGCTAGAGGAAGGTGGAGCAAAATGGTCTCCATCCTCTTGGGACACCCCCCCGGACCCAACTGTCCCAGGGGCACCAGGGGAAACCGAACAGAACCGCATCCAAACGTCATTCCCCGGCCAGTGTCTGCCCATGCCCTTTAAGATCCCTGTACTAGAAATCAGGCAGCCAATCAAATGCAAACCCAGACCTTTCAGATCTGGTCATTTAACCCCTCCCCTTTCTATCCCACCCCTGCAATCCTTGACGCTGCGTGATGTCACAGGTCCTGCTCTCCTCATCTGCAGGGCAGCATCCCGCTCCAGGGCAGCCAGGTCCACGAGCTGACCGGCAGCTCCGAGGATTCCGGCCGTCACCTCCTAGAGATCATCCCAGGTGAGGCGGCCATTTTGATCTGTCCTCATGACTGGGAGGATGACCACTTCTCCACAGAGATACTCCTCCATTAAAAGAGGCCACGGATTTTACAGAGAAAGGGCATTACTGACTCCTGGGAGTTGTGCTACCTCCAGGATGGTCAACGCCGCTGTAAGTCAGGGAGGGTCAGGTGACCTCCAATGCCATTTTATACGGTGATCAGTGTTGCATTCAAAGCTTCAGATTGGAGACATTTACAATTGACGTCTGAGTTCAGAAAAAAAAAAAAAAAAACAGACATTTTTTGTAGGCTGTGCCAAGCGGATCGACATGGGCGGTTCTGTTCTTTTCCGTACTGTGACTATCATGGCACACCACTGCCTCCAGATGGCGCTGTGGAGCAGATTGGCATGTGCAGCCCTGCAATGGAAAGGCAGTGAACACAGACCTAATAGCCAAGTAGGGAATGTTTCAGTGCACTACAGGATTAATGCTGCCATGCTTTAAAACAGGTTGATTAGCAGAAGAGGCATATTAGCCAGCTTCATCGCTAACTATATCACTCATATTAAACATATAGTGGTATAGCTGGACCTGGTTGTTACTACAGTGTAGTACAGGCAGACTGGGCGGTTTTGACAGGACAGGTCAGGCCCAGACTAATATTCACCTGCAGGTTTTAACCCCAACCCATGTAAATATTTGTTCTTATTTCCGGTGAATTCTCAGGGCACTTTCCCCACCCACCCCCACAAGCTGTGTACACATGCATCATGCTTGTGTGTTTTATTTATGACGGGCAAATATTACAAGCCACTGCCGAGTCCATCAGATGTGGCTAAGGCTGCGGCGGCTTATTGAAGGAGAGGCCTGTTTACAGAGCCTGGGATCCACATTTTGGGCGTTTGCAGCGCAATGTGCTCCTTTTAGACCAATGCTTTGCCACAGGATGCCCCCTGAACCGGGCTGTTCACAGTTTACCACAGGATGAGTCCTCTGGAAATGTTCATGCAGACTTGTTTTTGATTCTCCTAACTGATGCAGTCAGGTTACACCTAGGGGAACGTCCGACAGCTCAGCCTATACTCCAAATGCATGTGCGCCCAGAGAGATCATTCCCTTTAAGAGTGAATTTCAGGATCAACCCGCTATCCTTTTCCTCCTCAAGTCTCTGTTCATTCCTTGTTTGAGTTATGGAGGACAATCCAGCACCAGCGCCCTCTAGGGGCAGATAAAGATTACGGAGGTTTGTGACATTTTGTACTGTGAAGGTCGCTGGCGTCACTTTTAACAGTGTCCCGGTGGCCGTGCCGTATGGCAAGCTGACCCAAATGATGTCGGGAAGGCCCCGGCTCTGTAAAAGTGCCAAGACGGGTGAGGCGATTAAGTGTAAATGGAGAAGCCATTCCTCCAGTTTTACTGGGGCATCTATGCAGCTTCATTTGAACGTCTAACGTCCAGTGCCAGCTGGTGGATCTGTGATAGGCCAATCAAAGCTCCGGTTTCCAATTTTACCTGCTGTGTTGGGGTAAAATGAGTGCTGTCACATTGAGACAGTTACTGATGGATGTGAGAACACCTCTGCGGGCCTCACGAAACCGACAGAGCTTCGGGGACACGTCAGTCCGTTCTTCTGGCAGCAGGGCCGAGTGTGGAATGTGGGGGGAGGGGGGGTTGGGGAAGCAGCACCAAGCCGGCTAATTGGTATTTACAGTTTGCTTGTTTGGTGAATACACACGGCCACTTGTAGATGTTTGTGTCCCTCTGCTAGGCTGTGACCTGCCCCTCAAAAGACCCCCCCCCCCTCACCTCACAGACACACAAACCCCCAAGTTTTCATTCCAGCAAAAATCGCTGTGTGGATCAGAGCTGAGGAGGTGTTTCCAACAGGGGCAGGCCTGAAAACTGAAAGCTGATTGGTCCAGGCTGCAGTCTCTCCCCGTCACTCACCAATTCAAAACATATCATTGGCTGATGATAAGGCTGGTCCCACTGTATGAATTATGCCCCGCTAATGCCCCCAAACTGACGCCTTGCATGTGGTCTGTGACCGCGGGAGACCCCCCCTCCCCCCAGCCAGCCCCCACTGCTTTGTTCTGAAATTCCTTCACTGTTCCTTCACTAACAGCGCTAACAGAGACGCACAGCCGGAAGACACTGCAGATGCTTACGTTGTCCTCTTGACAGGTGCCAGGAAACTTCGCGAACTGGCAGGCAGCCGCTCCTCCGTGCTCCGGTCCGCTCCGCGGGGTAGGTGGCGCGGGATTCCAGCCGGTATTGCCGTGTCTCGGGCCAACAGGCACGCTGCTCTGCAAGCTGTTTTCCCCATCAGCACGCAGAGGGCCCTGTGCTCGGCGCCGGATCTGTGCAAGCGTAATCCCATTCAGTTCCCGCTCGGCGGCGCCCCCTTCCCGAGCCCCCGGCTGTAAGGGCTGCTTGCTCAACGTGCACAAAATGTCAGGCCTGAACAATGGGCCTGTTCTTCACGCCCGCTGTCCACGGCAGCCCGAGCTCTGGCTCTGTGGGCGCGGGGTCCGTGTTTGAGGCCACAGCCGAAGAAGGGCGGGGGGGTCAGTTGACTATGATGGGGAGGGGGGGTGACTCGGGGCGTGGCCTGGATTTTTCCCTCCAGGGGCCCAAGCGTCTGCTTAACACATCCGCGGCTCCGCTACTTGTGTGCTCCTCTCACAGCGGGGGCGGGGGCCCATTGGGGGGGTGGGGGGGGGGTGGCGGTAAGCAGACAGCTTTCGGAGACGGGTGGGACACCAATTCCAGGCGACACCCCCCCAGGGCTGTGGATATGCAGGCAGAGCTTCAGAAAAGCAGTGAGTCGAAGGCCTTGTATTCTGCTCTCAGATTGATTAGCATGGTCTATTTGGGGTAGGGGGTAGTGGTGGTGCGGGGTGTTTGGGGCCGGTAGGGTGATTTTTTGCGGCGTTAGGAAGGGACGAGCTAAGCGGCCCCCCCCCTCCCTGGCGGGAGGGCAGCCAGCGGGGGCACGCACAGCCGGGAGAGCCCACTCTCCACGGGGGCTTGTTCCTGCTGGAGGGGGGCGGTTCTTTTTACCTCCCTTCCTCCTTTCTTTTTGCCCTCCGCCTTCTATGAATGAAGGAGGTGAGCGGCCTCTTTCTGGAGCTCCCTGGCCTGAGATGGTCCTGCAGGCGACCCGCCGGCTCCAACAAGCGCCTCACCTCGTACCTGTGCACGTGGAGGGGAGGGGGCGGGCCCCCCCCCGGGCTGCCTGAGGCCAGACATGGGGATCGGCTGCTGCAGGCTGAAGGACCCCCAACCGGGAAGACTGAAAGGTATGCGCCTCCTTCCCCGGTGGGTCACGTGACCCCGTTCCGCTCTGAGTCACGTGTCGACAGGACGCGTGACGATTGGCTGGGGGTGTTTTTGTGATAGCTAGAGTTGAGTCACGATGCGAGGGGACGCAATTCTAGTGGACTTGAGAACAGGGTTACGGTGCCGCAATAGAAAGATGGGCGAGGGGATGGCCGCGTGTTCAGGATGCTCTGTTCCCCGCTTTTGGGTGCCTCTCTCCTCGAACTTTGCTGTGTGACCACAGATGTGTGTCACCAGCTCTGTCGATCTCACAAACATCACCGCAAAGACCGGAGTCGTGCGATTCCGCGTCCTGGACATTTTCTGCCAAAATCCTGGCACGACCGTTGTGAAATGTGAATCCCTCTTCCGCCGGATGTTCTGATGTTCCCGCTGTGGCCGTCCGACTCCATCTCACATGGTCAAACTTCTTTAGAGACTAGTTTTCAAAAATGAATCGCTTCTCCACAGAGTCTCTTTGCGCGCTGAAAGCTGACCCTCATTGCAACATCGTAATGCACAAACACCCATTACCTGATAGGTATTTGAGGTGAATTACATGTGAATACCTATGCAAATTTTAGCTCTGGGCCTGGGTGAAAATACATGACAGCATTTTATTGTTTATTCACATAAAAGGCTGTTTAGCAATGCTGGATTTTAAAGACACTTGTTTCTGCTCAGAATTCCCCAACCTGAGGGTCCCTTTGACTCATTTCATGAATGACCATCACTGGCTTCCCAGTTCTGTTGCAATAGTTGGGATGCCAGCAAAGGAGCCACAGCTCAGTGATCCTGGACCTCATCTTAATAGAGTCTAATGCTGATCTAAGCTGAAAAACCAACTGAACAACTGTAACTAATTAATGCCTGAAATCCTCTAGAGCAGGAGAAGGTGTTTGACTAAAATGGGCTAAAGAAATTCCACTTTTCCCATCACTGTGTGAGATAGTTTAGTCAGTCAGGTGGCTTGTAACTTCTGCGACAATGGGAGTGTGTCTAAGGTGCCAGGGATGGGAGGCTAACAAGAGTCCCCCCCCCACCAGTTAGCTAGCAGCTGTTGGTGGCCAATGGCCACACTCTACGACTCCCAGCATAAACAAACTGATTGACGCAGCAGGAGCTGCTGGGGCAGGCGCTGTGTTGACGTTGACCATATATGGGGTGGGTGGGGGCAACTACTTAGAAATTCTACAAACAAAAATGGCAGCTAAATGGGACTATGCTTTTGCATGGGGGGGGGGGGTCATTGGGCTGACAACAGGCCTGTAAGTAGAAGTGTCTTTTAAAATGGTTGCTTTTGCATTCTCTGCAAGATTTGGTAGAAGTTTCCAGTATTGTGAGAAAAGCTGTTTGGTGACACATAGAGACCCAGAGACTGTTTGGCAGAATCAGATCATGTGAGCCTTGATGCCAGTAACGCCCAGGACTGACCCTAGGAACGAGAGAAAACCAATGTGAAATGCAAATATCTGGTAAATTCATTATGTTACATGTGTTTTTGGAGACAAGAATCAGTAATCATGAGCATACGGGGCTAGCAAATGGTAACCCTCCTTAGCTCAGCTCAACGTGCATGACAGAATCTTTCTATGAAAGGGAGAGAGGGAGAGAGAGAGGGAGCACGCATCTGCCATCCGTTACGTCTGCCTGTCTGGTTACCACTGGAGATTAACAAAACATGTAAACATAAATTTTGGCGTGTCATGTGGGGCTGCCCCAGCCTAATTACAGTGTGAAAGGAGGAGGTCCGTTCGTGCTTGACTGTCAGCCCCTTACAAACAGCCATAAACAAGGTGCGACTTAAGAAAATAACATGCATGATTCTTGGCTTCCATGCGGGGCGAGCAGGAGGATGTGAAAATGCGGCCTGCATTTTGTTTCCGGGACAGTGTGGATGGTTTTGCAAAGCTCAGTGCAAAATGCAGAATACTGCGTTTGATCGCTGTTGCCAATGTCCAGTATGAAGGCTGACCCTGGCCACCATCCCTTGTATCCGGAAGACAGCTGTAGCAGGGAGAGATTTAAAACAAATGTGGGGATAACCATCTGTCTCCTTTCTATGGCGACTTTATCTGAGCCTTTGTAAACTCCCCAACTGCACGGTTACTGCACATCAGCATTCCCACGTGTGATGGCACTTGTCTTTCCACCCAGAGTTGCTTCGGATCATGTCCAGCTGTATGATCTCTACTTCCTGACTTCAATTTTTTTTTCCTGCCTCAGTCTCTAGCTGTAAAGTGTCTTTGGTACCTGATAGTGCTACTTTATTGAGATAGGGAGGGGGGTCATTCATCTATTATCACTGCGTAGCAGAGCAGGCAGCTCAGAAAAGACCTCAGGAAATTGTTTTAAATCTGCCTAACCCTAACCCTAAACCTAACCCTCCCTGGATATGACAGAGGAACAGACTTGTGTGTGTTTCTGCAGGTTTGGCATTGACAAAATCACTCCACTGCATTGGGATACTCCATTGATTCTGCTTGCTCAAGGCACGCAAGAGCCTGAGAAAATACACATCCTGACCAGGTCTAATGGCTTTTCACCCAGAAGGGGTTCTCTTCCCAGCTGGAACTAGGCCCTGAACCAAAAAGAAAAAAACCTGTGAATGTAATGGTGAACAGATTAAAGAGATGTTTAAATGGAGGGACGGCTCCTTTACGCTCGCCATCCATAGTTCAGTCAAAGGTGACTCCTGGACTTGGATGCAAATTATTTTTCTCAAAATGTTCTCATTTATAGGAGTCATTCTCAACTAACCTACATCCAGGAAAATGGCAGCATACAGTAGATCCAAGAAAAACTCAGTGTAGATCCAACATAAACTAAAAGATACATAAGATTTTCCATAATGGTTCTTGTTAAAAAATTACCCTTTTTTTGGATTGCTCAGGTGTCCACTATATCCTTTCTAAAAATTTCCATCGATGAGATACTTTCAACAGGAAGAATATTATGCTTAAAAAGTTGTAGGCCTTTAATTTGCCACTAAAAAACCAGAGCCTTAGCTAGCATAAGGTCAGCTAGCATCAGGCTAAAATCAGGTAAGCTAGCATCAGGCTAAAATCAGGTCAGCTAGATTCAGGCCAACGTCAGATATGTTAGATTCAGGCTAAACTCAGGTCAGACAGCATCAGGCTAAAATCATGTAAGCTACCATCAGCATAAAATCAGGTCAGCGAGCATCTCACTATAATCAGGTCAGCTAGCATCAGGCTAAAATCAGGCTCTCTGCTGGTTCCTTAGTTAACTGATGGACAGCCAAAGATGCATCAGGATCTTACAAGAAGCATGATATATGCACGCTGCAGTATTTTAATATGCAAAGTGCTACACTGAAATGAATCCTTCAACTACACAGATGTTTGAGATTTAATGAAGGATGCGAATAATGACACATTCCAGTTTTTATCATCATTCCTGGTGTTTTACGATGCTTTCATAGCCGTCGCACCGCTATAAACATCGAATCCTGGCTGTGTTCACATTACATGCAGGAAATCAAATGGTCTGGGCTGGGTAATTGAGTGGTATGTTCAATTGGCTTTTTGGTATCTGGTGCAGTATCACGTTAGCCATTAGCCGTGAGAAAAACGCAGACCTCTCATCTGTGGAAGCTCTATCCTTACAGAAACACGGAGTTCCACATTTAGGTTTATTAATTTCCTGGAGCGTAATCTCTACCGGTCTTTCATGGGGCTGCCATATCGCGAAAGTGCGATGCTTCTCGAGTGCTCGCAAGCACAAAACACTGGACGTATACAAGACGTGGCTCCAAGTTAATAATAAGTAAAAAACAAGAAGCTCTAGAAAAAAAACATAGAGCAAAGTGTTTATGTATAAATACGTGCTCCTCATAGACAGGAAGACATGCAGAGAGACACGGCTCAGGAAAAACTCAGACACCCGATCTGCACTGACTGCCGACAGCAGGGCACTTTATCTCCGGGTGTGTGATGTCATCGGAGCAAAGTCAGCCTCACCCGTCATCGCTGGATGTCCGCACCCCCCCCCCTCCATCTCACCGTGGTGTTCGCTTACACGGCCACTGCCATAACGTATCCGTCTGAGTTGGTTGTTACAGGAATATAAGGCAATTTGGAGAAGAAAACCGCTGGAAAAGCAGATTTTGTGCGCATGTGTTGAGCAATTGATGCATGTAGAATCCATGCAAAAACATGCATGACTTCTGTGAGATTCTAAGAGTCGATCATGTAGACAAACTGTGAGATTTCATAATCAAAACACTGCAATCCCCCGGTTGAGCCACTTCTGCTTACGGGCGCAGAAGAAACATGAGACTGTCTCGTTTTCCGGGGTTTTCTCTAAGGGGGAGAGAAAAAAAACTGCAAGAAAGGAATGGGGCAGGGACGTAAAACTCATCCTCACACAGCCCCTGTAGTCTCAGGGGAGGGGTCGCCTTTTAGGGTTTCAAGGCTAAAGGCCTGCGTCTGATGGCACGCTGTGCATTCTGGGAACTCACTGGCCTCAGCAGGAGAATGCAGACGACCGTGGGGTTTTTCATTATTGTTGTTGTTTATTTTTATTCAGTCCTAAGTTATATATGACAACCTGAAAAGCAAAACACACAAGCCCTAAAACCAGAAACAGACTCGTGAACGTACTGTAACGGAAAGTTTGAAAGAGTTTAGCCTGCCTGGATTAGGCAAGACAATTTTGCCCCCTAGTGGCGATGAGGTTCATTCACAACATTCTACTTCAAGCCTCCATTTTTCCGGACCACGAAAAACAACACAAAAAGTCACAGACTCTATTCCTGGTTATGATATAAATGTGCTGTTTAGAGAATGAGATCTGCCTTGGTGTTTGGCTAAGTAAGTTAACTACAGCTGTAGTTATACATGTCGGGCGCCTGTGTTTCCTGTCTGAGGGGCTGTTCTCATTTTACAGCGTTTATCATCCGTAAATGTGGGCCAGTGGGGTCAATTCAGACCCCTGACCTCTATCATCTAGAGCCAGTAAATGACGCGGGGGGGGGGGGGCTGGCCTCATGAGGTCCCCAAGGAAACATGACAGACCATTTTAGAGCTGACGGCTGATGTTGTCTCCAGGGTTTGCTGCTGGCGGGGGCCCTTCTGCAGATGGGGAATGTTTCCATTGACAGGGCCTGATATAGACTCATGGCTATCCTGAGATCCAGGGTCTGCTCTGATAGCTGTGCTCTTCCTTGAGGCATCGTTACTCGAGCCCTAATTTATGAATAAATGCCAAAGAGCATGTGGCCTAGCGGGTGACGCTTTGCCCACACAACTCCGAGGCTCCGGCTCAGATAAGCAAACATCAACGTTAGACTGTGCAGAGGGTCACTTACTAAATGGATTCCAGGTACTGTGTTGCCTGCATCCCGCACTGGTGCCACCAGGCACAGCAAAGGCTGTGACATCATAACAAATCAGCGGGGGTTGATTTGAGAGCTGGTGTCCCAGTGGGAGGTGTTAGGCTATTCCGTACCCCGCGGGGAGCGTTCGGCCCTCGCTCCTTAACCCTGATTTATCTTCCAAATGCTTATCCAGGACAGGGATGTGGGGGGCATAGAGTCCATCCCCAGGCGGCACAGGACACGGGGAATGGAAAAGTCCAGATGAGGTGCCTTTTATCTCTGGCGTTTAATGGCAACCAGGCGAAAGCTCTATTGAAGTTAAAAAAGGGATTTACAAGGCTGACGTTTTCAGTAATCTGGAAAATCCAGCAGGATATGCTGCTTCGCTCCGTGAACCCGATTTGCTTGCGCCACGTTTACGTTGCATTTTGTCTGTTTGGCACGATATGTATGTTCGTCTGTGCACCATGTTCTTGCTGCTGTACACGCCAGAATTTCCCCCCAGGATCAATAAAGTTAATCTTAATCTTAAGCGCAGAATCACCACCGACAGACATGGGTGTAAATTCATAAATCTTTTTTTTTGTATCCTTCCCTTACAGTAGAACTCATCACCTTTTTACAGAGTCAAGAGGAAATCTGGTGACGGTCTGAGATGCTGGATATTTCCAAGTCTTACGATTCCATCTGAAAAATACCCCAACCCCCCCGCGCCAAAAAAATAAACCTGCTACTACCTTTGCATCACTAAGAAGGATACCAACATTCACAAGACAAATGCTAGAAAAATTAAAGCACAAAACTAGAAAAAAGAAAAAAAAAACTCGGGCGGGATCTCTGCAGATGAGACCTCCACATCTCCATCTTGGCAGACTCACATCATCCACTCTCTCCCGCTGTCTTGCATCATGCAGGTGGAAGTGCGGAGAGGGAGCGAGCCGGCATCGGCCATGAGGCCATCCTGCTCATGGCCAATTCCCAGAATGAAGTGGACGACTGGGTCAAAGCCATCCGCAGGGTCATCTGGGCGCCCTTCGGAGGAGGTACAGGCACTGGGGTGAGGGTGGTTGGGTGATTAAAAGAAAGGAAACTAAAAGTGGAATGAGCAGATTTGACCCCCAGGACTTCCACTCTCACCGCTGTGATGTCCAGCCTCCCCAACAGCGACAGTTTGCATTGTTTACCAAGGGAATTTAAACGAGTTTGGGATAAAAATAAGAACAGATTTCATGTTGGGAATCTGTATCTAAGAATATATCTTGTGCAGCAGCACTGTCGATGTTATTTACTGCACCATGGGATCGGTGATCTGAAGAGGGAAACGTACCAGACCAGAAATAGGAAAACGTATAACTCAGTGTCGAAGATCTTTCAGAGTGCCTTGTGTTTGTCAATAGACGCTGAGGTGACCAAAAACTCTGCGTCTGCATTTTCAGATTAAATTTTAAACCGCGCCGTTGGCAGATGCCTGTCCTGATCTCCCCCGAAAGCGGAGGAGCAACCCTGCGGTTTCACTCGGGCAGAAACGCAAGGCGCTCGCTTTTCTAACCTTCAGATGTTATAATAGACCCTTAGTGCTGATTCACGCTGAAGATTTGGCAGGGAATTCAAATTCTTCCTGTGATATGCAGATACTGCAAGTGAGAGCAGTGATGCACGGCGCTCCAGCATGGGAAAGTGACAGTGTTTGCCAAAACAATCTCGGTTTTATCTCCAGGACAGTGTGTGTGTGAGTGGATTATGTTTATATTACATTGTGGGGACCAAATGTTCCCCACCATGTAATAAAAACCTGTTATTTTGATGTTGTGGGGACCATTTTTCAGGTCCCCACAAAGATCTGTGAATGCAATCAAAAAACTGAATATTTTGTTTGGTTACTTATGGTTAAGGTCTTCATGTTGGGATTAGAGCTTTCCCCATAGAAATTAATGGAGAGTCCCCATAAATATATCATTACAAACCTGTGCGTGTGTTTGCGCGCGTGGGTCTGGGAACTCCTGAAAAATGAATACATTTTAAATATATAATTCAAAATAAAAAACTTAAGTACGGGTGTAAGTGTTGCCAACTCTTGCGTGACACTTACACGCACACGCAAGAAATCTTCCGGCAAATCTGTATTATTCCTTTATAAACCTAAAATTAACTATATCAAGCGCTACAGACCATTTACAAGGCAATAAAACTGTTACATACGTGTAAATGCATGTACATGTGTGTGCAGAATTGTCTCGAATTGAAAATCTCACCCCAGCCATCTGACCAGAGTTGGCAGCCCTGGGGTGTGGACTTCATTTAGTAATGTGATTTGGTTTGCTAACTGCCTGCTAATGCAGGGTGGTTTTTTTTACCCCAGAATCCCCGCTTTGTATTTCTGTGATTTACATGGCAGGTAATAATAATGAGTCGTCAGACTGGCCATCAGGAATAGAAATGAGATCGAATCGGAGCCATAATCCGCTGCGGACTGGCTGTCGCGGTCACACGGCGCTATTCGCGCTGAGCTGCTCTTTCCCCGCCGATCGCGGGCATGACGATACCTGCCCGCCCTGGCGCCGCCACCGCCTGCAGGAGCTCTTTCATGAATTAAATATTTCGCTCGGCAAGCTGTGATTACTGCTCGGAAACAGATGCGTCGCGGAGCGTTAACGAGGCGCCGAGCTGGGTCCACGCCGCGGCACTGCGCGCACCCTGAGCCGGGGGGCAACAGCCTGGGATGTGTCTGGTCCCGGAAGCCGGGGCGCTTCTGCTGTGCGGCTCCTGTCCCCCGGCTGCCCGGTGCTCCTGCGCGCTGTCCGCCGCCTGCTGCGATAGACCCCGAGGTAGGATGCGGAGCGCAGCGGGACGCCAGCTGATCCGGCGGGCCAGTGCTTAATTAAATGCGCAAAATAATAATAGTTATAATACTTCAACTCTCGCGTTTTCCATGTTGAACATTGTATTTACATTTATCCGTACAGCAGACGCGTTTATCCAAAGTGACCTATAATTGAGAAACTAAATTGCCAAGTTAATATGCTTTTTTTTTTTTTTTTTTACTGTTGCCTAAATGACGACAGAGGTTCTTGGTGTTTAGTAATAATGATATTATTTAAATGCAATAATTGGTGGTGAAATAGAAAAATGCAAACGCGGATTGTCCGTCGTGGGCGCCGTTTCATGCCTCCCCCATCACGCGCTTTCTTCCCGTCTGATCCCGGAGTGTCTACCTGGTGCGGCAGGTATCTTCGGCCAGCGCCTGGAGGACACGGTGCAGTATGAGAGGAAGTTCGGCCAGAGGCCGGCCCCTCTGCTGGTGGAGCAGTGCGTGGACTTCATCAGGGACCGCGGTCTGGACGAGGAGGGGCTCTTCCGGATGCCGGGCCAGGCCAACCTGGTGAAGGAGCTGCAGGATGCTTTTGACTGCGGGGATAAACCCCTTTTTGATAGGTATGGGTACCGGTCGCAGCTGGAGCCTCACTTCCAGGTTTACACTCTGTTTTAGGCTTGTTGTTTTAGATAAGATAAGATACAATTAGATGAGGGACTTTATCTCAGTTGTAGATTTACAAAATAAAGTATAAAGTATGCACTGTCAGAAAAAAAGAGCACCAGTTTGTACCTTAGCTTGTCACTGGGGCTGTACCCTCAAGGGTCTCTGCCAATTCTACCCTAACTGTAGGTAAATCTACATTTTAGTCTATTTTAAGGTACGGAAATGGACTCTGAGGAACATCCCCAAGGTACAAACGGCATCAGCGTACTCCCAATGGTACAAAACATTGCTCATAATCAATTTCAGTACCTTAAAAGGTACAAATTACCTACAGCTAAGGGTACAACTGGCAGAGACCCTTGAGGGTACAGCCCCAGTGACAAGCAAAGGTACAAATTGGTGCCCTTTTTTACTGACAGTGTGTGTCACAGAATTTGTTTGCTTGCTTGTTTATTGAATGAACACTAACACTTATTTGTGCCATCGAGTTGGGAGGGATGTGATTATTTGAACTGCTGCCCTCAGAATAAGCTGCTTTGAGGCCATGGGCCAGTGACACAGGTCTTGTGACTATTTTGTTGTCCGTTTGCTCGCGGACCTCCTGGCCGGGCACCAGCAGGGGGCTGCGTTATTCCGGTCCTTCTAATTCCGGCCCGTCCGGAGCACTCTGACCTTGCGGTGACCTGCCGCCCGCAGTAACACTGACGTCCACACGGTGGCGTCGCTGCTGAAGCTGTACCTGCGGGAGCTGCCCGAGCCTGTCATCCCCTACTCCAAGTATGAGGACTTCCTCACCTGCGCCCAACTGCTAGCCAAGGAAAGGGAAGAGGTGGGTATGGCCCGGTCAAAACGTCCTGCTCTCAGGTCACTCATGCGAAAAGGAACACGATGCCCCATTCCTGGGTGAAGAGCCCCCTGAGGGTGAAGGGAGGGGGCATTTTGAAAATAATGACACTTAGTCTCTGGCATGTTTTCCTTTTGGAAGAGCAGCACTAACTTCGCCACGTCTTCTTTGGCCTGAGCTTGGCTGAGACCTCTAGGGGGCGCCATAGAGACTCAAGTTACCTGCTATATCTGGATAGAGGGCAATGAATTGGAAGTGTGATGTTTCTCTAAATTTGGCTTGTCTAAGAGGGAGACGAGAGTCGATACCAAGAACTAACAATAGTTTGTAAGCTGCCGCTTGGTTTGTGACATACAGAACATGGCACATGTCAGCCTTCTGAGCCAGCTGGGAAAATAGACACAGGACATACATAAATAAATACATATTTGCACAAATAAATGGGGATCACGTGTTGCCGTGGCGCCCCACTGACTTAAAGTCATCATTTATCTGTCAGGGCATCCAGGAGCTGGGGAAGCAGGTGAAGACCCTTCCAGTAGCCAACTACAACCTCCTGAAGTACATCTGCAGGTAGGTGACCGTGCTGCCATGACAACACGCTCCTCAGATCCCTCTCCCTCAGTGATGTTGCTTATATTTACCTGTTTAGCACTTTGCATATTATTCTCATATTTCTTCATGTTTCTTTTTGGTTTTCTTCTACGATGAAATCAAGCCAAGGCTGTGGGCTTATTGTTCACGGATAAATTTTACTGTCCTTCCTTGTTCTTCGTTCTTTTCAGGTTCCTTCATGAAGTTCAGTCCCATTCGAACGAGAACAAAATGAGCGTTCAGAACTTAGCCACGGTATTCGGACCAAACATCTTGCGCCCAAAGGTGGAGGACCCAGTAACTATTATGGAAGGTGTGTGTTTGCCTGGGGGGGGGGGGCACCGTTTGTCCATCCAAAAAGGGTGAGTCAGGTGACCATGAGGGACACGTGATTAACTTCCTTTCTGCACCTGATCCTTGTTGTTCTTCAGTATCAGTCTGTATGAGTGCAATATATGTATGTCGGTCCACACTGGCTCCCCCTGCAGGAACCTCCTTGGTGCAGCAGCTCATGACCGTGCTGATCAGTGAACACGAGCGACTCTATTCTGGCGGGGAACCAGAGGAACCGGCAGCACCGCGGCCAGAGGTGGGTCCCCAGGGTCCACGCGGCACAGTGGGCTGGATCTCTGACGGAGGGCCCCAGGGGGTCCGTGCAGAGGATGGGAGCTCCTCCTTGGGACTGGAGGACTTGGGAAGCAGTGGCTCGTCACTGGACGTTAACATCAGCACACCCGCCGCTGGCAGTACCTTGCGTGCGGCCAATCAGGGAAGGGGGCTAGACACGGACGTCAGCCCGAGCAAGCAGGCTAAGTCGCTGCCTGTTTGGAAAAGCTCGTTCCGGGGCCCAGGGGCGAGACCTCAGCCAGGCAAGCTGGGTGGTTCCGCTGGGGACGTGTCGGGACTGTCGGGAGGGAACTGGCTGATGAGCGGGCTGTCCTCCCTGCGGGGCCACCGCCGCACCTCCTCAGGGGAGCCGGCGAGGGACTCCGGCTCCTCACAGAGGCTGTCCACGTACGACAACGTCACGGCGTCGAGCCTGAGCGTGCCCAGCGGAGCCGGCACCACCTGGACCACATCGTCCTGCGACGTCTCGGTGCCGGACTCCAGTGAGTTGTCAGAGAATAGCGGGAAAGGGGAGTGGCTGGCACCTCGGGGTCGCCCCCTGGAGGCTGATGGTGGTGACGCCCCAGAGCGGTGTGCCGGTGGTGCGGTCGGCAGCGCTGCCCACACCGACAACCAAGCGAAGGCCCTCAGCAGCCTGGTGGAGGAGCTGCAGGAGGAGCTGAGGAAGCAGAAACTCACCTATGAGACCAGGATAAAAAGGTGAGTCTTGTGTCTGCAGCTCAGTGGGTTAGGCCTTGGTGCTTGTGCTCAGAAGGTTGCTGGTTCAAATCCCATGCTTGGCAGAATAGTCACATTGCTGTTGGACCTTTGAGCAAAGCCCTTAACTTCCTGAGGAATGCTCCAGGGGTGGCAGATAAATGGCATCAAATTCAGGTCGTCCTCTGCCTCAAGCCCTGTGATGGACTGGCGCCCCATCCTGGGTTTCCCTTTCCTTGTACCCTGTGATGGACTGGCGCCCCATCCTGGGTTTCCCTTTCCTTGTACCCTGTGATGGACTGGTGTCCCCTCCCCTTTGGCCCATTCTGCCTGGGTTAAGCTCCAGCACTGCATAAACAACTGGAAGGTGGATGGATGATATTAGGGCTGCCACTTACTATTTTTTCTATGGATTAATCTATCAACTATTATACCGATTGGTCGATTAATCTAAAGGATTAGTTTTCCTCCAGAAAATCAAACAGACTGTTTAAGTTAATTTTATTTTGAAAACAACAAACTGTGTATTATTACAGGGTTTTAGATAATGGACGCCAGCTTTAAGGCACTACAGACATTATTTTCGCCCACAATTGGATAAGCAGATTAGTAGTATGCCTAAAATATTAATGAGATGCGTATTGGTGATTCCCAAAATGTAGAAATCTGGATAAATTTGGCGTGTCCTTACGCTTATTAAGCTCGGTTAGAGGGGCACGCCGATGGTAAATCGTGGAAGCGATAAGAAATGAAGTCGTAGTGTGGGAAGGGACAGCTTAGCAATCACAACCTCTTTTAAACATGATGATGGTGTGGGGCTGCTTTTTGCTAATTAAAGTCCGGCACGTTTTTTTTTTTTGGTAAGTATAGTTTTAATTTTTATTTCAGTTCACTAATTATTTTCTTATTTTCTTCTTTTTATGTAGCGTCCGTTTCGTTTCAGTTTTAGTTAATAATAACACTGGCACCGTCAATCCACATAGGATAAGCCTTGATTTTAGCCTAAACGTTTTCTCAAACACTTATTCAATGGAGATTCTAAGGTAGCAAGCAGACAACTTTATGGCTTTAATAATAAGTGTATTAACCAGCTACCAGCAAAAAAATATATTAAAAAGCTCTCCGTACTAATGATCATTTAACAAACATGAATAGACCATACCATGTATGATACTTACAGTGCCGCTGTAGTACGCCATCGAACTTTTAAAAACATATTTTTGTTTTCTGATCATTTAAACCACTCTAAAATTACGTAGTGATATTAAAGGAAAACATCCGTTATAAAATCTGAAAAATTTTGGAAATCACGATGGTAACTTCATTCAAATAATTTAAAAAACGATGCTTCGATTTAAAATATTGATGTCGACGCTCTTTCTGCATCGACGTTGTCGACTAATCGCGAGCCCTAAATGGTATTATATGAATCATCGGCTATTAATAAAATATTTAATTTCGGGATGGCCCAATGCCGACGGCTTCTTTTGATACAAATGTTATTTTTGGTCAGGCATATTTGCTGCTAGCTTATATCGTACTGGTCCACAGCAGTGCAGGAACAGCCTTTGATTGTCACCCACATTATAGGTTCCAGGAGAAAGTGACTTTTAAATTGCCTGATAAATTCAGGCTATTGCTATTAATTTGACATTTCTCCTGCTTACAACTTATTTTGTTTGAGGAAAATGAGTCTTTCAGGCAGACTCACGGGGCACCACGGAACGAGGACCTCTGCGTTTCTGCCTTTACAGTTTTTACAGTAAAGTAAAAATATTTTCCATACAGAAATGACATATCACCAATGATGTCTATTCATTACCTTATTTGTAGCCTTTATCTGTATGTACAGGTGGGCATTTTACTCAAGCAATTTAAATATTTTTTTTTCACCGTCCCTCTTCTATGGAGGGCGTTTTGTGACAATTTTCTATAAATAAATTACATTTAAGTGAAAATTTATAAATATATAATTTACTCAAAGTGTCATTTAAACTACTATTGATAAATGTGTCATTTAAACGATTATTTATACAATCATTTAAATTGCTGTTGGAATGATTGATAATTTAAATGACCATTAAAATGATCTGTAAGGCATCCATCAAACTCAGTGGGCGGGCTTTAAACACAACCTAACATCTGATTGGTTACATTGCAAACTCAGTTACAACAGATCGATCTCAACTAGTTGATTAAATTCTTATTTATAACCTCATTTTGTCTGTTCCCTCCTGGGGCCGTATACATCCTAACTTAACAAAATCCGAAATAAGCACTCAACTTTAGAATAGCAGTTAAACTGCCTTAACTTTCACTGGCCACCACATAGTGTTAGCTATAGCTAAACTAATTTTATCCATATGGCTGCTCGAATGTACGGAGCCCCGCTCATGACATAATGATTAAAATGATGTATATCCTGGCCACTGCCCAATATTGTGCTTTTTTCCCATGTATTAGTATCTAGTCCAGGCTGTGTGGTGCATTACCTAAAGAATCAAGCATTTCTTAGCAGAGAAGCAGGTGGAACTGAGCATCTGGGTTTGTGTGGTTTGCCCCCTGCAGGCTGGAGGAGTCCAGCGCCGCGCTGCGCTCCCAGTTGGAGCACCTGGAGCGGGAGATGGACCTGGAGAGGCGGAAACAGCGGCTGCTGGAGATCAAGCTGCGGAACTCGGAGCGGGCCAGGCAGGACGCCGAGACTCGGAATCGACTTCTGGAGCGTGAGATGGAGGGCTTCTTCTCCACCCTGGGGGAGCCATGCAGTGGGGTGCGGACCAGCGACATCTGGGGGGGGGGGGGGGGGGGGGCTCTCCTCCCACACACCACAGAGGGTCTCAGGATATTAAAATGAAGCCCAGAGGCTGCCTGACATGGTAACCCCCCCCCTTCCCCCGACACACACTGCCTACGCACAAACCATACCAAAGCGAGTCCTTTCCAGTGCAAGCCGGCTGGAACGGGATATCAGTCATGTGACACAAGCCAACTGTGGCGTCTGCTTCAGACACCACAACAAACCTGCTCAGCCCTTCAAACCTGCTCAGGACCTTCACGGGTCCCTGCATGGGGTGACTGTTTCTGACTTATAACAGTTATACTGTGCTTTTGCTTTCTGGATGAGATGGAATACCAGACAGCTAAGTCCTAATGAACAGTACAACGGTACAAATGTCAATATAATGTGTGTTAATTTATCAAAGGGAGTTTATTTTTTAATATGTCAGAATATGTTGCATATTAAAATATTCACGTTTCTGTATACATACAATGTGGAATACGTTCTACAGTAGCTTCCAGGTCAACTTGAAGAACCAACAATACCTTAAAAGCGACAGACTGTGTTTGCACTTGGAGATGTTGCTGGTCACACAGTACACAGAGACTGTTTTTTTTGGGGTTTTTTTTTTGGACTGCATATTGTCTGCAAAAATTAATTTTGAAATGTCCAGTTTTCAAATTCTCCCCCATTATTTGATGTGGAAAATTGAAGATACCCATATTTAATTCTAAATGTCACTGAAATGCAGACACAAGTACACATTTTTACCGTCATTTAACAGCAGGAATGACAAATACATTTATCACACTGGCGAGGTCCTCTTTATGTTCCTTTTTATCGTCCTACAGCCCAAAAGGACGACAAAGTGTGTAGGGGAAGTACTGTTCCTTTTTGATCCCTGCAAAGGCAGGAATGGAGAATGTCATTTTCCGCATCGATTGATACCGGGTATCAAGAACAGGTCCAGGGCAGATATCCTGAACCCCTGAGTGGCTTTGTGGCAGACGGGGGAGCAAAATCACTCCAGAGAGAGATCACATGTCGCAGCTGGTTAACCCTTTATCTACCTGGAAGCAAGATACCCTACAGGAGGCACTGTAAGACCCACTGAAGCGCACAGAGGAAGGTTTCTGTCAGCATGCAGTAAGAGATATGGTTTCTGACTATTCCTGGATTTCATATTTCGTCACCAAATACTCATCCAGAATATTTAAGCATGGAAACTCGCTCCGACTGAAGGATCTAATTATAATCTTATGTAGCGTGGCATTCGTCTGGCGGTCACTGATTTTAAAATTCCTCTCCCGTCTAATAATAAGTGCCAATTACTCAGGAATTTTATGACCCTGTTGACAGTCTAAGATGTCGGGTTTTGCGGCCGGCCTGAATATTCTGACGTGTTTTCAGAAGCTCTGAGTCACGCCTTTGAGGGAAGCGGCGTCAACACCCAACACCTGCTACATCGCCACCTCGGTCTCGACATCCTCCTCCTTCCGGAGCACGGCCCCCGCCGGCACGACTGAAGAGGCCGACAGCGTCAGAGAAGGACAGCCAAAGCTCGTTCTGAATTCAGCGGTTTATTTGCAGTACATTTCCAAGTTGGCATTACTGGGCTGGACTGGATCTCCAGCACACTTCTTCCACAACCTCGGGCAGCGGGGTGAACAGAACTGGTTCAGTTATCAGAACAAAACTTGCTTGGGCTGGTTACACAAGCGAAACATTACGGACCAGCACCATGAATATTTGAACTTCTTTTAGGCAATTGCTCATATATATTTATTTATTCTTCAAACTCGTCCGGTCTTACTATCAAGTGGGGGCAGTACCCCTGACCTCATTACAATTCTCTTGTTTTTTGGCCGCTGACTTCGATGACAAGGTTTGGAAGGCGGTTTACGTTATAATACATCACATTATGACTGCACCAAGTCACAGAGAATCTTTCTAATTTACAAAATAGAAAAAAAAAACATGTATCGACAGTACCAGACATCCTCTACCTTCAAAAACATACATCTATATGGCCACATCCATCACTCACTATTTGCACAATTTGCAGAAGGTATTGCACATAAACTGTAAAGAAAAAAAAAAAAACGACCAGTTCTCACTCCTAGGTGAAGTATACATCACATATAATACTAGAAGTATCCTAACATTGACAATATTACACTCTGAAATAAATAAATAAAACAAATTATTCACATTGTTTTATATACCGAATCCTGTGGGTGTCTGTGTATCCAAGAAATTTAGTGTGAGGTAGTTCATCAAAGCCTACTTTTGTGAGTGTTTTGAGTGTTTGAAAGCACGAGTCTCCTAAAACATCGTGCGCGTGCATCTGCTGAGGGGCCAGCAGCGCCAGAAAAAATAAGAGCACTTGCAACGAAAAGAACACAAAAAGGAAAGGGTATTGCCTGTGAGTAGCTGGCGCCCCCGTGTGGCCAAACGTCACAGCAGGCATCTCGGTTTCGGCACCCTGCCTCCCCGCGCTCGACACGTCTCCGAACAGTCCACATCGTTTCAGTTAACCAAAAAACACCCGTTACAAGCGGAAAAAGGAAACAGTCTTCCTAACGTGACTTGAACTGTACGTTCTTCACCTTAGGTGCCGAGTTTACGACGTTTTTTTTTCGAACTTAGGCAGAAAAGCGTACAAACCAAATAGCTATTATATAAAAACACATTCAACTTTGATGAAAAACCTAGGCAAGTCACCCTTAGCGTATTTAAAAGAAACGTGTATGTTATAACTTTCTGAAGCCAACTTTTTCCTTTTCCTCAACTAGAAAAATAGAATTTCCATTTCCGATATGGGCCACTTTGGGTGTGATTAAACACAGTAGAAATACTAGTACTTGTCACAAACCGTGTAGCTAGGAAACCTAACCTCCTTGCTTTTGGATACTTCAGGAATGAATCCACAACTGCAGGCACTTTTCCATTTGTAACTTAAAAAAAGAATGCCTTTATTGCATACAGTATTATCTTATTATCTTCCTATACTGGCGCTTGTCAGCATTGCTCAAATTAAATAGCTTTACAGTGCACACATGCATTTACATCCTGCATCGTGCATTTCTGGTTTACGTTTACCAACTACAGTTTTTTCTGTTTCCTCTCTATGATGAAACTGGATAGGGAAAGCACTAAATGTCTGTAAAAAAATGTAAACATACTGCAAGCCAAAGACCGCAAATAATAACGAGGGGGGTGGTGGGGTTAAAAGTGACATCACTCTCAACACACGCACTTGAAGAACGTTGTCTCGATTTGCGACACCATTACGAGGAGCCGCGATTTTCCCCTCCAATGCGCCCGCAAAGTGGGTGAACGCGATACGGCACAGATATTTCTTAAAGCCTTGCACTGAAGCATATTCCTCACGCCGCCTGACCCACAACTTTGCCCCAACATTGCAGTTTGGTGAGATTAGCCCGGAGGACGGGGGGAGACGCACGATCTGCAGCGATTCGCTCCCGTACCCCAACGCTCCATTTATCCAGAGATCCCCACTAACTTCATCTCGCACATAAATTCAAACCAAACACACGAATCTCTATCAGACAGCCACGAAAAAAACCCGCAAACAGCAATCGAGCGATAAAAATGCCTGAGAAACAGCAGATAGCTTTAGGAATCAAACGGCATCTAAAAACTTTAATACACACAAAAAAAGGATTTAAAGGTGTCAACCATTGAAGGAAAGAGTAACGGAAAAAAGTTGCTTATTAGAGTACAATCCAAATATCTATCGAATAGATACATTTAATAAAGCAACCATCTGGTAGATGGAGATAAAACCATTTCAAGCGATGGGAGAAATGGCGAAGGAAGTAACATGTTGAAGTAACAAATATGACAAAAGGTGTAGCACGAACGGAAAATTCAAATATTAAAAAATATATTTACCATAAAATTTTTACAAATTACCTTAGTCATTCTTCAGCATTTTGAAATGGTGTAACCGTTTGCATAAAAAAACCGCAAGCGTCCTTATAGTCGGTATATAGCTTAGTGTTTAAAATCACAACTTTCCTAGACCATTTCCACAAAAAGATAAAATAAAAAAACAATATGCCTCAATATTTTACAGCCTTAAAAAATAATAGTAAAATAAAACACAATGCACATTCTTGGAGGGGAGTGGAATAAACACAAGTGAACGAAGCCGTAGCGTGTTCGTTTTGAAACCGGCCCGGACTCTATACCACGGAAGAGACTGTGTCGGTGATGCGGGCAGATAGTCATCTGCAGCAGCCCAGCGCTCCCGCGGAGCCGTCCAAGCTGCTGTCCGTGTCAGAGGCCAGGGTTGGCTCGGTGGACATGGAGGATACATCGTTGGCGGAGGAAGAGGAGGATGATGAAGACGAGGACGACGACGGGGGCTGGGAGCCGTTGATCACTGCGGCACCTGTGCTATGAGAAACAGAGTATTAAATCAGAAATGCACCATGCTGTTACCTTATTAATATATGGAGCCACTGCTTCTCCATTGAAAAGGTATAAATAAAACCACGTGGGTAAACAGCACCACACAGTGGTCAAAATGTGGTACTGACAGCTGGGATTAGCATAATAATGTCCTGTATGGGTCTCATCTCGTTAGGAAAAGCAGGTGGTCATTACATAAGCAGAGAGACATCAGGAGCGCCCTGCCATCACACAGATGCTGTCCCCTCTCGTCCCCAAGGGACCTCTGAAAACATTACACTCGCTATTGCTAGGGGCAGCGGAGTCAGAAGCTGAGACTACAAAATGAGGCTGCACCATTCAAAACTTATACCTGCATCCAAACCACAACATCTACACCTATTGCTGCCCCCTACAGGAGACTACAAAAATGCAGGCAAAAATGCTACAAGAACAGCAGTGTCCGTTTTAACTAACCTAAAGAAGCCGGTTGTCCCCGGATCACCCCATTTTTTGTCCTCTCCTCCGAGGCCAGGACCTCCTTGTAGATGAGCTCTAATTTGTGGAAGAAGTCGGAGTTAATTCATAACTGAGCACATACATTAATTTCTTAAATACAAGTGAAGGGGTGTGTCTTTTAACTAGAGATGGTCAAAATGACACTTAATGAACCATTTGCTGTATTTTTTGAGCCCACTAGATGGTGCTCTTGGTTGGCTTTGGGGCATGCTTTATGCTCTTTTTTTTGAACAAAGTGAACCATCTATTGGGGTCACAAAATACAGCAAATGGGTCATGAAGTGTTATTTTGTCCTCACTACTTTTAACCTAGCATTGGTTGAAGTTACCCCAAGCTGTCAATCACTGAGTGAGCTCATTAAATTTAAAACACAGGGTTAGTCCATATTTGTCCCATTACTAGCAGAGAATAAAAATAAAGTGTCAGGTGAGGATGAGTACCTTTCCATTCATCTACCGTGTGCTCCCTTTCATCCAGCTGCTGGTCACTGATCAACGGTGGCGGCTGAGGGAGGAAAACAGACCCGAGTGGGTTAGAGGCCACCTTTGGAACACACATCTGACTTCCGGAGCACAAACAGTCACAGTGCAGAGAGGAAGGGCGGGCTCCCAGTGTTTACGTTCGGAGAGCGAATGCCGTAATGGACCTCGTCAGATCAGGATGCCGGCAGGGAGCTCGGCGTCGTCCCAAGTCTCTAACGGCCAAAGGGCTTTTCTGGCCAGGTCACCCGCGGGTAGGCAAGGTGGACGACAGCCTGGCGGCATGGAGACGCCGCTCACGGCCCAGCATCCATCTGGGCTTCAACGCGCCACATTCACCGATGGTGCGAATTCTCCCACACACAGACTCACACGCACTTATCCGTCTTGTTATCCCACCAGCACATTGTCCTGACATCAGATGATCCTTCCACAATTATTGCTGGACTACACACAATTTTACTTTGGAACTTCTGGACCTCCTCTGCCAGTCCCAGGAGGCTGGACTGCCCCTTTGAGTCTGGTTCCTCTCAAGGTTTCTCTCTACTTGGGAATTTTTACTTGCCACAATGTAATATTGCGAAAATGTGCTATATAAATAAATTCAATTTAACTGAATAACCCTACTTAAAAAACAGCAAATAAAAGAATCCCCTATATTAATTACTATGCTTGTGTGGACCGATTCTTGAAATCTCAAAGCAGCAGAACCTGCATGCCTGCACACACATACACTTTGCAAGACCTGCATAAAAAGTCCCCCCTGCTCCAAAGTGCACGGTCCCTACCAGACAAAGCTCACAAGCCGCAGAACCTGGAGCCCAATCCCAGCTATGTAGTTCCAGATGGGACAGGTAGCACTCACCGCTTCCACCTCAGCTGGATCGTACCACACATTGATGTAGGGGTGCTGCAGGGCCTCGTCCACCGAGATGCGCTTGGATGCATCTATTACCAGCATTTTCGATAGCAGGTCCCTGGCCTGGCTCGCTGGAAGGTAACA